GGGGGGGGGGGGGGGGGGGGGGGGGGGGGGGGGGGGGGGGGGGGGAGGGGGGGGGGGGGGGGGGGGGGGGGGGGGGGGGGGGGGGGGGGGGGGGGGGGGGGGGGGGGGGGGGGGGGGGGGGGGGGGGGGGGGGGGGGGGGGGGGGGGGGGGGGGGGGGGGGGGGGGGGGGAAAGGGGGGGGGGGGGGGGGGGGGGGGGGGGGGGGGGGGGGGGGGGGGGGGGGGGGGGGGGGGGGGGGGGGGGGGGGGTGTGGGGGGGGTGGGGGGGGGGGGGGGGGTCCCCCCGGGGGGGGGGGGGGGGGGGGGGGGGGGGGGGGGGGGGGGGGGGGGGGGGGGGGGGGGGGGGGGGTTTTGGGGGGGGGGGGGGGGGGGGGGGGGGGGGGGGGGGGGGGGGGGGGGGGGGGGGGGGGGGGGGGGGGGGAAAAAAAAAAAGGGGGGGAGGGGGGGGGGGGGGGGGGGGGGGGGGGGGGGGGGGGGGGGGGGGGGGGGGGGGGGGGGGGGGGGGGGGGGGGGGGGGGGGGGGGGGGGGGGGGGGGGGGGGGGGGGGGGGGGAAAAGGGGGGGGGGGGGGGGGGGCCCCCCCCCGGCGAAAAAAAAAAAAAAAAAGCGGGGCCCGGCGGGGGGGGGGGGGGGGGGGGGGGGGGGCCCCCCCCCCCCCCCCCCCCCCCGGGGCCCCAACCCCCCCGGGGGGGGGGGGGTTTTTGGGGGAGGTTTTTACTTGGGCCGGGGGGGGAAAAAAAAAAAAACCCCCCGCCGCGGAGGGGGGAGGGGGGGGGGGGGGGGGGGGGGGGAATTCCCCCCCCCCCTTGCAGACCAAGCGGGGGGGGGGGGGTTGGGGGGGGGAAAATTCGCCGCCGGCCGGGGGGCGGGGGTTTTTAATTAGTTGCAACCCCGGGGGGCGGGTGGGGGTGGTTGTTAGGTAGTTCCTCGGGACGCGAAAAACAAGACCCCCATTATTAATTGCCAGCTCTTGTGGTATCTAGAGGGCCACCAGTTGATTAGCGATTCTCAGTACGGCTTTCGTCGTGGTCGCTCAGCTGGTGACCTCCTTTATACCTTACCCATAGGTGGGCAGAGGCAATTGAGTCCAAGGGGGAGGCGCTGGCGGTAAGTTTGGACACAGCGAAAGTCTTCGATCGGGTGTGGCACAGAGCACTGCTCTCGAAGCTTCCAGCCTATGGGCTTCCCGAGAAATTATGGGATTGGATCTCCAGCTTTCTGGCCGATCGGAGCATCAAGGTCGTCATCGACGGAGCATGTTCCGACCTTAAACCTGTGAACGCTGGGGTCCCACAAGGCTGTGTTCTATCCCCGATCCTATTTCTTTTGCATATCAATGATATGTTGCAACTTAGCAACATTCATTGCTATGCGGATGACAGCACTGGGGATACTTTTTACACTGGCCGGGCAGGTATTTCTCGGGCAGTTGTTGATGAGTACCGGAACAAACTTGTGTCTGAAGTCGAAACTCTACTACGTGGAGTCTCAGACTGGGGCAGACAAAACCTAGTCCAATTTAACCCCAAGAAGACACAAGTTTGCGCGTTTTCCGCTAAAAAAACACCCTTTGTCGCTTCTCCTCTTTTCGAAAACACTCTTCTTAAAGCCACAGCCAGCATTGGAATACTTGGCGTTGACATATCGAACGACGTTCAGTTTCGCGGTCACTTGGAGGGAAAGGCTAAATTAGCCTCCAAAAAGCTAGGTGTGCTCAGCAAGGCGAGGCGGTACTTCACTCCGGGCCACCGCATGCAACTATATAAAGCGCAAATTCGGCCCCACATGGAGTACTGCTCTCACCTCTGGGCGGGGGCTCCCCAGTACCAGCTCCTTCCACTTGACCGTATACAACGCAGAGCGGTTCGAATCGTCGACGACCAATCCCTCTCCGAGCGGCTTGATCCTTTGGCGTTGCGTAGAGATGTGGGGTCACTCTGCATCTTCTACCGCATTTAACATGGAGAGTGTTCAGAGGAGTTGTTCGGATTAATACCTGCAGCTGAGTTTCATCATCGGACGTCGAGACAGAATACGAAATTCCACCCGTATCACCTCGACGTTCGCCGTTCCACAACTGAGCGTTTTTCAAGGCAGATTTTGCCGCGCACCACCACTATGTGGAATCAGCTGCCCACTGAAGTATTTCCGAACCAATTCGACTTAGGGTCCTTCAAGAAAAGAGCGTACCAATTCTTAAAAGGCCGGCAACGCACTCGCGAGCCCTCTGGCATTGAGAGTGTCCATGGGCGGCGGTGTCACTTAACATCAGGTGAGCCTCCTGCCCGTTTGCCCCCCGTTCTATAAAAAAAAAATAAAAAAAATGAAGTCTAGCATCGAAGGTCTAGTCATGAATGTTAAGGGGCGTTCCCACGAGGCGTTAATCACGACAGTCAACCACGCTTTCGTGAAATACACTTCTGTGTGAACGCATAGGCGTTAAACTTGCTTTCGTGAGGAACGGCGCACGACACAAGCGTGGATAGATCAAACGTGTTTGATTTTCAGTCGTGATATACCGTTCGTGAAGCCAAGATGTCGTCACAACAACGTGGAATTAAGTTTAACGACAGTGAAACTACGCGTTTTTTGGAGTTATATTCTATGGAAAAGGTGTTATATGATCCAAGTTTGGAGGAATACCGTGATAGAGATTTACGTGCCGCCGCAGCTAAGAGAATAAGTCATGAATTAAATATTCCTGGATTTGGAACTTAAAACAGCACAACTTTCAACAACCAGATCATTCATGATCGATGTTTCGATAATGACTAAGTCGAAACACGAAGCGTGAACGGCACGAAATCCCCCAACCATGTGAACGTTTCATCAATTCACACTTTCGTGAGTGTCACGAACGACAGTTGACTAGTGTAGTTGACTGTCGTGATTAACGCTCCGTGGGAACGCCCCATTAGTTTAGTTCTAAGAGAGAACATCTTTTAATGTTTATGAGTCTGGCAAATGAAAGAAGATAATGAAAAAGCGCGGCAAATTCAAAATTGTTTAGTATAGTACAAGTAGCGGCACGAAACTCTAGCGCTGACCGTTATTGCGCAGAAGTAAAAAATAAGGTACCTGAGGGGGGCTAGCGGAATGAAGATCGGGCGCGCTTAAGAGTCGATTCACGATTGGCTCTCCAGTCGCATTCCGTCCCCCGCACCGATACGACACCCCGCGCACATCCCGTGTACAGTCGCGTCATTAATATTATTGTTACTGTTGTTACGTTTTGTTGTTTTTTGTTACGTTTGAATTTGTTAGTGTTTTGTTGTTAAATAAGTGAGGGCCAGCGGTGGATTCCAAAAAAAAACAAAATATATTAATATTACTTTAATTAATTACTTTTACAAATAATGAACTTAACTAAATACAATTATTTAATCGCCCCGATATTAGGTGCATGATAAATATATTATATAATAAACTTAACTACTTGAGACTTGACCGGTCCGATATGAGGTATCCGATCAAAAAACTGTTGGTTCTCTTGTCCCTTTCCTTATATAGCGTAGTTTCGTAAGAGGTGACTTGTATTGGGTATGCGGGGCAAAGGGAGTGCAATGAATATGTAACATGTTTGTTATTTGTTTTTAAGTTTGTTTGTGACTTTAAAGTGAATACGCCTAGAACAAATACTGTTTTGAAAAGACAAGCCAGGGAAATGGTTTACGACGTGAATTGTTTTTTAAAAAGGGAATCTAACGAATTAATTGATTCTTTGAAACAAATCCAAAGTGAGATTGACGAAGCTACAAATACTTTGTTCAGTCATTCGGACAGCAACATTGTAAATTTGAGCCAGATAAAACAAACTGCCGAAATCATTAAGGCAGGAAACATACAATTTAATAGTATAATCGGCGAATTAGGTAAAATCCAAAAAAGGACAGCAGAGTCAACAAAAACGTCAATTGTTGCAATTAGTAAGAAACATCTCCAATCAAGCCAAAAGTTCTGATTTGATCACAGTGTTCAGAACACCTGGCAAAAAACGTTCCAGAACAAAACCGGTCACAAATATCGACTACTTCGACCAAGGAGTAATAAAGAGAACCATTCATAACTTTCACAAGACAAATAATATATAATGTATGGCATATAATGTATTGCGTGCGCGACAGTACACATGCGCAGCAATCCCCTCCACGTATCGGCCAGCGCTAGACTTACGTGTCTATATCCCTTAAAGTTTGATATATTTTGTGGATTAAACTTACTTGATACGTAATTTTATTTTATAATGTTTTACATTGATAGTAACTGCATTTCTATGAAATTAAATACTATACGTATTCAGTCTTTTACTATTGATACTTAAAATGACTAGAATTGCATGGAAAACTAAAACTATATTTATTATAAAACACAACTTTCAATATATATTTCAGAATCCAATCAATAAAACAAAGTGTAGGCTATTATACCTGTTAATTATTCGGAAAAAAAATAAAAATTAGTTTAGAAGTTTTTAGAAGAGTTTAGAGAATTGCATGAAGTATCAAGTCAATAAATCATACTAATCTAAGAAATTCAATGACATTCTGTGCTGCCATCCGAAAGTTTTCAAATCATTCAATTATCTTCTTTCGATAGCCAGACTCTAGCTTCTTCTAGAGAAAAAAATACTCAATATAAGCAATTTTCTGTTAAATTTCTAGCTACAAGCCTTTGGTAGCAGTTGGCAACACTGCATTTCCAGACAATTTAGTATTGCGTTAGTCGGTCACGCCTCTCGCAAAGTGACTGTCTATCAAGCCTTTGCTTACACTTGGCGATTGTAACTTTGTCTAACCGTAACGTCACTTTTTTTATATTCTATAGTATAAACTTAGTCTGTGGACAATCGGTGGTGGGCCGCTGGCCGAGAGTATATGATAATTATCATTTGATTTATTACTTCATAGTTCATACGTCATAGTTATTTACACAGAAACTATTGCAGCGTTCAGTCGTCAGTATAATCGTAGCTAAATTTATAAATAGTGTAGTTCTTATTAAAATGGAAAAACAGGAAGTTAAATTATTTACCCGCGAGGAGTTGAAGAAGCGAAACACTCGCGAGGACTGTATTCTCATCATCCACAACGAGGTTTACGACGTCACTGAGTTTTTAGAAGAGGTAAGTAGAATTTGATTGCGTGATAATTGTGTGCATACGTCGATCTATGTATTTATTCATTACCTGCTGAAAGCATTTTCATAATATATTTACTTATTTTAATTTATTCTAGGTTTTTAATTTTAGATAAAACCGTATCTTGATAGATCCTTGGTATTGCTCCAAGACTATTTCTTTTTTTATACTTATTTTTAATAAATGTAGCAGACAGAAATAGTAATTACTTGCTAATATTAATCAAGAAATAAATAGAAAATTTTTTTTTTTTAATGTATAATGTTAATAACTATGTCACAGTTAATAAATTAATTTTCCTCTCCTAACTAATAATAATAGTTACCACATAACCATATAATTTTGGTATGTAACTGTATATATGTACCATACTGAGTTTTATAAGTAAACTAATATTTTGTTATTATAAAGTTTATTTTATTGTAAAAATAAAGTATTATCAAATACATGTCTGAGTACATTTAATTATAAGTCCAGATTGGCAGGCCTGCCCTGGTCCAAGTATTCAAGTACCTAGTTTTTTTAGTTTTTTATTAATTATTCAAGGTTAGAGACAGGGCTGAATATCTACTCAAAGAATAAAATTAATAAAACATCCAGAAATTACACTACCATAATATGTATAATACAACTTAATTATGATATATTTCTGTATTAAGCAACAAAAATTGTAAGATTCAGAGGCGAGACTTATCACAAGCTATATCTTCAATATATCAAATAATCCATTTGTTTTTGACATTTGAAATAATAGTTTACACTGTCTTGGTTTAGAATTTAACTGAAAAATTAATTCAATCACTAAAGATAGCTGATTTGTTTCATTGAAGTAAATGATTTTAATCAATCAATTTAATTACTTGATTAAAGTAATATGCATTATCTATGAACTTATCACCTACAAACGGTAATATTGCAATAATTTTTATTTGCACTTAATTGCATAATTTTAGATATTTTTGAGTAGACTAAGGGTTGTTTCACAACTGTCAGATAGCGCTTTTCGTCACATAAAGTCCATCATAAGTTATGAGTCCGATGAAGTGTCAAATAGAACAATTTATCTTCCAAATAATTTGTGTTGCATAGCTATTTGGTACTTTATCCATACATTGTGAAAAAGACCCTAACTGTAACAAACACATTTATATTTAGATGTCTATCTAAGAAAAATGTCATATGTTCATAAATATCACGTTATGTTTATCACAAAATTACACTAACAATTTTTGAAAATAAAATATACGCATGTACAGCTATATTTCATCCAGTCATATCAATGTGTGTAAAGTAGGTAATGATTTATATTTGTGAGTTTTGGTAATTTCTAATGATAATATTCATAATATTGCTAGCACCCCTGAGTTGTTTGTATATTCTGACTTTTATAGCCAACCATTTCAATAGCAGTAGCCCAAACATGTAGAATTGCTGCACTCAGTAGACTGTGTTAAAAGCTTTTAAAGACCAACACATAGCACTCCATTTAAACAAAAAGTATGTGCATACAAAGTACACATGTCAGAAGTGAAACTTCTTTGGCAAACTAATTTTTAAGTCTTGTTCATATTTATACAAATCTAAAACTTTAGATTGCCGAGACCTAGAGGGAGGGAAAAGGGAAGATATGTTAGCAGTTTAACGAATTTAAATGTCATTAAAATATTAAAAGTGTTGAAAATTGATACAAATTGTAAATTTTTATTAATTTAATTTATTTCTTCCATAAAAACACTTGGTATGTTAATTTACAATTCGTCATTTGAAATTTCAATAAATTATTTTGCGTAAAATATAAAATACTAATATTTCATAAGTTCTCTTTACGAAATTTTAATTTTAAAAATAGAATTTCTATAAGGTAATTCGCTCTTCTCACTCTCTCAATCGCTCTCTCCCTTTTCTTCGACAAAAACGCTGCACATCTTGACGCTAATATTATTATTATTGCGCGTCTAAACGGGCCATGTTTTGCTGCAATTGATGGCTGCACTGTTGGCCACTAATTGCCCGGCCATTACAAAAATATTTTAATGAGCTGATGGCCGAACAATCTATGGCTGGGCAATGTGTTGCAATATGTCTGCAATAGTATGGCCCATGATGCAGACTCCTAAACGGGCTACACAAACCAGCAACAATGGCTGACGAAATCGCACTTGTTGCAGCGGTTTGTTTTAAAAAGAAACAGAAAAAGAAGAGATTGTGGATTCGACCTTACTTAAATAGGCGTGAAACTGTAGACAATTTGAGTCTAGAAATAAGTCTTGATAATAAATTATTCAAGAACTAGAATATCAAAAAGTAGTCAATTTTACGTAGTAATCTAACGTCAAATACAGCTGATCGCAAAACACAGAATAAAGCAACACGCACACTTCACCTCAAAGCAAACGTCATGTCGCGTAGAAAAGGATACACTATGCCATAACAAAGAGAGTGACTGAAACAACAAAGAGAAACGTGGCTGTGCAATATTGCAGTTGAATTCGATAGCCTAGCGATCGTCCGGCCACCCATCGGAGGGCAACATCGGTCATATGTGGCTATACAAAACATGTTTGGCTATATGGCCGGAACATTACTGCAATATTGCATAGTGTGGCTGCTATTGTTTGAATGTTGCCGGCCACAGTGTTGCAGCCATCAATTGCGGAAAACATGGCCCGTTTAGACGCGCCATTATTGCGTTTAATCCGTAAAAATTTTACCCTCAAAGCTTGGGTAGTTTAATTAGTAATATGTAACTGTTAATGCACACCCCAATAGTTTTCTCTTAAATAACTTAAGCTGCTTAACTTACTTAAATGTTTTAGGCAAACTATAACATACTTACATTACTAACAAATATGTTTATATTACTAATTATTTCTGCTTTAACATGCTGCTAACTCAAATGAACAAATCCTCAGAATAGTTGTAATTCAATTTATTATATAATAGCTGTATAGTAAATATCTTTATTCGTATATTCCGGTCACGTTAAATGGATTAAAGCGAACGCAGGAATAGGCATCTGATGGAATGTTGGGTGTCAGGAATTTCATTAAGCTCAATATGGGAAGTTATCCAAGGCATTATAATATTTTATTAAAACTTCCTTGAAGATATAATGACTTGATAAATGTATTATCGGTAATGTTATTTCAAGTTATAGATTTAATATTTAAGTTGAGTAAATTTCAGATTATTACTTCAATATTATTACTCGTCCGCGTTTAAACAAAAGTAAATATAACTTTCACATTATGTTCGTTCATAATCTGGCTGAGGTTAATGCACGGCTATACCCGGTTGTCCTCTTGTATTGGTTAAATTTTAAGTCAAGGTTGTTCGTACATCGTGCTTGTTAAGTTTCCTCGCGGTCAAAGTCTCTATTCGTTCACACGAGGTTTAGGTCACAGAGCACGCAGCACAATATGTTGCCTTGTATAATAAAAAGCCAAGAGTCTCCCGAAAATTATAATCCATACATATGGAAAGTAAAGCTTTCTTCCACTATGAATTTAATATCTCATATTTGGTCAAGATAAGATTATGAAGTACTTGCTCACCATAGGTGAATAACCTCGGTATTTAAATTACTAAACAATGCATCTCCCAGGTAGGTAACGATCGCTGTATATACAAATCTTATGTAATATCTACGTTGATAAAAATACTATGCCTTGAACTCGACCTATAGTCTTTGCTACGAGCAAGATTATGCCGTTGTAATACTGAAAACAGTAGCGCAAAAATTGATTCAATAAAACGTTAGCGATATATTTTATATTGAATTATAGCGAAATTTTCTTTGTAAAAAGATTTAAAAAGTGGATGACATACTTAAATTTTAGTCATTAAAAGTATATTTATTTCCAATTAAGAGACCGAACAGTTTTACTTATTAGAGATAACAATACGACGTGATTCAACAGTTATTGAGAAAATTTTATTGTAGATATATTTTTTTAACCACAGAACATCGAATAAAGTTTATATAACATATTATTCTTTCGGCTTTCACAGAATTTAAAGTAAAAATTTTAATTCTATATTTCGACCAAGTATTTCTACAACCTTGGTTAACAATAATAACTGAAACCTTTAGTCGTTTTTGCATATTAAAACTAAACAAAAAAGAATCGTTACTTTCCAAGGTGTTGCGTGAACTTAATTACATTAGTAATAAAGTACAATTAAGGTCTAATGTTCATTATACTCGAAAATCTTTAATAAAAAAAATATTTTTAGCACCCTGGAGGTCTGGAGGTGCTTATGGAACTTGCAGGTCAAGACGCCACCGAACCCTTTGAAGACGTTAGCCACAGTTCGGACGCAAGGTATCTACGTTTATAATCTTTTATATGTAAAGCTATTTGGGCAAACTGTCACTGGACAAATATTTTTTCAGTAAGAAAATTATATCATTTGTGTTAATATTTCCGTACATATTTATTATCAATGTAAATTTCAATGTCAATCCTATTAAAAAGAATGAAATTGCATATTTTTAGCAAAACACTAAAATTTTAACCATGACATAGCATTATTTATATAAAAACAGTGATTATCAGTACTCATCTTATTGCCGTTTATTATTTAAAGATTATTTAATATACCTACTAATAGGCCGGGAGATAGTGACACAAAATAATGGGTCCATTCCACAAAAATTCTAGTATTTTTCGATAGTCCATAAAAAAATAAGAGGCGGCAGTGTAATGCCATACTTCTCCGGTGTGACTTACAGCCCGCCATACCGACGCGAATGCGTTAATTTAAAAAAAAATCATCCATTTTTACCAGGCTAATTTTTGCACAGTTAATCATCGACGAGTTCGACTAACGCCCACGCGATTGAACCGCCGGTACCAGCGCTATGAGTTATGACCATCATTTTTCTTTTTTCATTGCGTAATAAGACCCCTGAAGAACCGCCATACTGGTACAAATGACCCACTATTTTGTGTCACTATCTCCCGGCCTATATACAAATGACGTATGATTATTGAAACGAGATACGTTAAATGTACGTTTCATAAAAAGTTTTGTTTTTATAGATAATAATAGATAGAAGCAAGAAAGTAGATATTATAAAAAAAGACATTAAACAGCGGATGGGTGATGGTCGTTTAAAGTAATATATAATTTAAAGTACCCATGCAGTTGTGGCCTTGCTGTCTTGTGAAACGATAATTAACCCCATTTTAACATTAACGTGTTTTGTTTAACAGGGCGTTGATGAAAAAGTACAAGATTGGCGGACTAGTGGAGGCAGACCGCACCCAGACAAAGGCGGCTTTCGCGCCTCAGTGGAACAACGACCAACCGCAGGAGCAGGGCAAGTGCGTAATCGCCTAAAGTTCCACTAACAACTCATTTAACGCTCACATCATCGGTCACCATACAGCAACCATTCATTTATTTGATTCACGGTGTTTTTATTTGGTCTGTATCGCGTTCTGGCAGTTTCTGCAGCTGGACTTGTTATTGCGTTCATAAGTGGTCTTTGGGTATTTAAGTAGGCAAATGCATATAATCATTAAGGTATATAGAAGAGACTATATAATCACTTAGGTATTTAAAGAAGAGGTCATTTTACAAATGCTAAAAAGCTGATTTCAAAAAATATTTAGCTTTTTAGCTTTCAAAAAATATTTTATACCACGATACCCGGACGTTACAATCAATGAAATTTTTAAACAGCAATGATATTGTTTGTTGATAATTTTATTTGATTTATTCACTTCCTTAATGAAAGTGATATCATTTCACGTGATGTTTAGTCACTCACACATACGCATGGCTCTGTGTTTAACATAATATAGTTTTATGTACTTATATAAGCAAGACCAAATATATGTACAAAACGTGACCATAGATCTGTTATTTAACATTAATTTTGTGATCTATAGCGTACGAGACTTATATTTTTTTAAATATATACTAATGTTTATTGTATCTTTAAGAATTAATCTAAATATTATTTTGCTCTACTAATATTGTGTTCTGTGATATCTTTCGAACGTCTACAACGGTAAAAGACCGATCGAATTACCACTTTCGTTCACCATCCTTCCTACTCTATGCTTCGCTACTAATAATAATTAGTTAACTACAATTGTACCTACATTGAATAACTGCTAATCTATATACAGAATCTCAAACATATACGTTATATATTTAATAATAACTAGACACGTATAAAATTAGAATACCGAATCACATTATCTCAAATTTTTGATAAACAGGAAAATGGTATTTCAAGCGGGCTTTTCCGGGTTACCCCTATTTAGTGCGTTAGCTATTGTGATTTGTAGGACTCTGTGCTTCCTATATTATGTACCTTATATCTATTCCTAATAAGTATATAATTGTAACTGTCTAATAAATCCTATACTAATTGTGAGACTTCTTATTTCTTTTTATTAATATATCCCCTTTTACACAGAACCATGTCGTATTTTTACATTCTCATGAAAATTTTGATCACTGCAAGTTTCTACATGCATGTCCGAATTTGTAGTTTAAAATGTATGCTTTTAACAACGAATATCAATACTTTTAAATAGCTAATCGGGCCCTTAACAGGTGATGCCATTAGAATTTAATGAGGCCTTTATAAAACTAATTTTCTATAGGTAAGGAATAAGGTGCTAGTTTTGATTCATCTGTATGGGAATGACATTAGATAAGATATGTCACGTGACCACTCCAGGTTAAGGTGGTAAACTCAAAACTGATAATTAAATGTTTATATGTCTTGTACAGTATTACTTAATGTATAGTAGAGATTAACGACTTTACAAATCATGAGTACTCCAAATAGTACAAATCTTACAGTGCTCACGATGCAATCTTTGTACCTGCTGATACTCGGCTAGGCTATACGGTTCTAGGCTTACATTGGTGTGATTTTAACTTTCGAATTCAATAATTGTATCCCTTATGGTCTCTCTATGAATTCAATAACGTGCCAGGAGATAACAAATGATAAAGCGGTGCTTATCAAAGGGCGAGGTCAACTCGACGAATAATACGTATTATAAATGAAACCTACTACAGTTTTGTGGGTTTCACGAGATTTTAAACTTCAATGAGATTATCATTGCAAAACATTCAACAAGCTTTATCAGGATATAACAAGATGGGTCGAGCATGTGGAAGATCGGAAAGAGTATAAAAAGGTTTCACAACTAAAATGGAAACTTTAAAGGCTTTAAGAAAGGATTCCTTACCTGGGAAGGGTCCGAAAACTAACATTTTTTATCTCAAGTCAGGTACAGCTGCCGTCCCTTTTTTAAATAAAATAAATAGAAAACGTTAGTATGCAAGTTATCATGGATTCGTCAAATAATGATAAATATTGGAACCGTGGGTTTCATTATCTTTGTCACAAGGTATAATCATTAAATTTGTATATACATTATAAGTTTTTATCGGTTTTAAAAGCATTTAGTCAAACCATAAAGTTTGTTATTACATTATGTAGTTGCTAGGATTATAAAAATATTTAACGGCCACACCTTATCGACCTGAGTAAAAAACTAATGGCCTAAAGGTAAAAAAAATCAACATCAAGTGACAAAATTTCTAATATCCTATTATAAATAAGGACAATTTGTATGTCTTAAAAATATATATTTTTTTAAATAAATATTCATAAAATAAATGTCCAGCCTGTAGGAACCTGGAACAGTAGGTATATTACTGTTGTCTTTGGTTAAACTTCTACCAAATTAATCTGTAGGTTATATCTCATAAAATTTTGAATCGATTTCGTTTCATTATTTAAGTACGCTTAAGGGTGGGAAATGTTCATTTGTGAAGTTGTTCCCCATGTTACATTTAAAATGTACTTATTCAGGATTTTAGAGACTTCAAATTCAATTAAGTAAATTCTCTTTCATTTTTCCTAAAAGTCATATTCTGAGACAGTTGTAGCATGTATAATATTTCAAAACTTCTTGTCATCTGCGATTGTCGCAGAACGGTTCGTGAGATTTAATTGCGGTTGATGCACACTGCAGGCAGCATTCTACCCCCACGCGGGGTTATTCTTCAAAGCTGATACAACAATATTATTTATTTTATACACTGTTATAGAAACCTTAAGCTGATGGCAATAAAGACGCCCTTGCAATACATTAAAAATCATAGTTATTTGTATCATTCCTGTTATAACTCAGTAGAACCCCTATATTCTACTCCTTGTTTTTAGTGTGTGAGTTACATTTGTGTATTACACACGCCTACGGGCTAGGAGAGTCAGCTTGTATAGTTTTTGCTGTCATTGTTAAAATTTGGATTTGTAATTCTAATTTAAATTGTAATCTAGTGTACAGTTTTGAATTTTGTCAGTTGATGGGTGTGCTGTGATTTCTCGGATAAAACTATTAGAATGCCTCGCCATAAGTGCAAAATTTTAATTTTACGTAGGTAGGCAAATCATTGTTTACTTTGATTCTAACAAATTAAATATAACGAAGCCTTGACTACATCTGTTCGTCTCACGCTCCTGCAAACGTGGTTACTTGTTTATAGCCGCCATTACATTGAATAGTGGTAGTATTTGGTCATTGAATACAAAATATTATTTTTATTATGCAAGAATATTACGAAAATAACTAAGAGCAACAAAAACGAGCGAAGAAAATGGATCGTATTCTCTCAACGTAAATCATAAAGACTCAGATTATTAGATAATCATATCATCGATTTGTATATTCTACGTACTTTTTATAAAAATAATTAAATTAAATCGACGTAAAGATGATTTATAATCTGGCGTTAACGACTAGATGATTAATTTTATTCAATATAGTACTTCGTATGATCCACTAAAATAACAATTCTTCTAATCGTAATAAATATCGATATCAAGACATTTCAAATCGTAATTGTACGTAAAGCCATAACCAGAAAACGTCTTGTAAATTAGGAATATGTTTATACTATGAAATATGATAATTAATTATGTATAAGCAAGTTATTCATTATGAAGGAAACTCGTAGTAATTAATAACGAATATAAAACTATATGTATTATAATATACTCCTTCACATTTTTAAAATAAGCAAACCATAAAATAGATTTACCACTTAATGTAACGATAAATTTTGATTATTTTATTCAATACGCTCGTTTTATGTTTGCAATAGCCTCGAAAAAACTTATACCAACTTTGTATAAAATTTCGGAAATTCAGAAACACAAAAATATTTGTCCTCTATTTTAGTTCTGTTGTTTTATCCTATTTTCCTCATACATTACTACGGCTCAGTGACTTAATTCGAACGGTCACAAAGTCATATATTATTGAACGTACATATAGTTTGAATGTTTGGGGCCATTTAGGATTCCTAGCTGAGCCACCACACATCCACAAAAAATCTCTAACATTTTTTACTTAATAAGACACTTCTATAATAAGCTATATTGTCTTTTCAGTTGGAGTTCATGGGCTCTACCGCTACTATTGGGCATCGCCGCAACAATTCTCTACCGGTATCTGTTCATGTAGTGAGTTCCTTGCCTCTTGGCTCTCTCAATATTAGCAGAAGTTCAGATCTGACTCGAAGGTGCCGGCATCACCCAACCACACCCATCAAAATGTATAAAAACGACAATCCAATAAACTTTTTGTTGTTTAGAAATTCAGCTATAAACTGACAAATTTTTCAAGCATTTCTGGAGTCTGTAAAAGCAAATACTAGCCTAAATATATGTTGCAACTGTTATGCAACAATAAATGATATCAATTGTGATGGCATATCTTTGTTGTAGGCAGTTTTGCTCATGCTGTTAGGGTAATATTCAGTCAGATTAAGCACTAAGTATGACAAAGTATTGGATTTGACATTACTCATACTTATTGCTAAGTCTGGACACTGAATACTTACCCTTAATTTCTCAGTGTTCTGCTTTATCAATAGTGTATGCCATCACTGAAATGCTTTTGATCAAAAAATATATAAGGACCATTAATAAGCCTATTTCTGACATCAGAATCTCTCTTCAGTGGTGTTGCAGAGACAAATTATCATTCCCATCTACATTGTACAGAAGCAATTTTTTTATAAGTATAATAATTGTTTACATGTAAACTGTAGGAATAAATTAGCCAATTGTGTGAGCTTGCAGGATTTATTAAGATTATTTTATAATTAGTATTTAATTTTTTGGGGCATTTACATTAAATAAGCTGTAAGGAATCAGCATTTACATACATAGGTGTATAACATATTTTTTAACACACTTGAAAGAATTAAATAGTTTTAAGAGCCATTATTTCATTCCTTATTAAATTTAACAACAAGTTATAAAATTATATGTCTATGTCATGACTAATAACATCTAATCTAAGATGTAAAATATCATTATTACTGAACACATATGTTTAACTTCTAGTGTCCATAATATTAAAACTGTAACTTGGTGCACACCAGTTTCATAATTATTAGCGTATGATCAAAGCCAACACCTGAAAATATTTCACAAAATATACTCTGTTAGTGAGAATATTAATTTAATAGGCTAAGTGCCTTATACCTTTCTCTTTTTTATAAGCATAAATTTGCCCCAGGAATGTAGCCCAATCTGTATAATAGAACAAAAATATTGAAATTGTTTTATTAGTGGTTAACCACTTTATATATTTAAAATAGCTCATAAATAGTAATTTCAAACCAGGTTTTAAACTATCATATTTTAAATATGTACAGAGCCAATTTTTGTTCTTATACATTTTGGCCTACTTTAAGTGTATTTGTAATGTGCTAGAGGAGTGTATTTATAATGGTTAAGGAGTTGCTATGAATGTATTTGGGTTTGTGTGGATTTTGATAAATAAACATCTTGTTTAGTAAATAGTACTTTTAATTTAATTATATCCTGAAGTATATTAATTTAAAACACCTTTAATTCATTGAACAAGGTTAATCACAATAGTTAAGTCTTAAGATTTTTTTTTTATGCTATAGTTTCATCTTGCATATTACATATTTACATTTAATTAACAATAAATAACACCAAATAAGCCAATAATTACTAGGACTTAGTCCATAGACATATGTGACAATTGTACTTATCTACTTTTTACACAAAGACAATATCTTAAGTAAGTAATCAACAGTAAGTGTAGGTAATGTTGTTTTTAAAGATTAAATTGGACCTACTTGCAAACTACTTTATTTAACTATTCCTTATCTATAACATGAAACACAAACTGCTGAGTCTTCAGACCTGAAATATAAAGAATCAATTGAGCTCTAATAGTGATGAATCTATTTATCTACTTGTTATACCACTTTGAATACTAAAACTTGTAGTATCTACTGCCTATTCTTCTTAAGGTTTTATCCTGCACTACAAAAAAAAAAAATACTCACCCATACAAAGAGCACTCAGAACAGAAGTTCTGTTGACAGAGAGAACACACTAACTTGCAGAATGCACACAGAGTCTTATCGCAGTATGCACATAATTCTATTTTAGCTGCTCCACATTTGCACAAAGCCTCAGATGAATTTTCTTTGACCTGTGATCATATGTGAGTTATAAATTTACTAATAGTGTTCTAAAAGTAATAACATCGTATTCTTAAAACACTATTGTTGTTAGGTTTTAATTTATTAGTCATTCATACATGAATTACCTACTTACCATCTGACCAGTATGTATAAGTATGCCATTGGCGCCAATAAACAGTTGCTTCAGTCCGTCTTTTTTGAAATTGTCTTCTAAACTGCATTTAATCCCGTTTTCCTGCGCTTTTCTTGCTCCTTTAAATAACATTTGCAATGTTTTCTCTGTAAGTATGAAGTAATATGAAAACATAAGATTTCATACTATTGTAAGTAAATCCTCATTCCCCTAAACCATAACCGAATTTTTTAAACTTCAGAGTACTACAAGTCATACCGTAAACTTTTTTGCAGTCTTTCTTCATTGTTATTAAACTGTTTCAGTCCTATATGTACTTTGCTTTGTGGAACATAGTCGTCAATAAACGGATTTGCTCGCTTCGCCATATCCTGACTATTACTTAATTTTCCTTTTTAGAATAAGAATTATAAATTAAGTTGGATGTTGCTAATTACTATATTTCTAAAGATTGCATTTGCAAGCATTGCTCTTATTTATACTTAGTAGTAGAATTATTGTTGTGATGATTGTGTTAAATATATTGGGACTTTGTAGTAACGAAACACCTATTTATTAGTTAAGTTTTAAAATCCGTCTGAAATCTGAATCAGAATCAATCCAAAACAAAATAACTAATAACAGTTCGGAAATAGAAAGTAGAAACTGGTAACTGGTAAGTGGTAACCCTCGGTTTCAATAATAACCTACATTACCACAGTGTATAAACGTAGGACCCTCAAATTATCACAGATAGTAGAGGTAAACAAATAACTGAATTTAAGCCAGAGATACCCTATTCACTATTATGTTATTTATTATGCACAACTTTGTGATTAATAGCCAACCTCCACTCTCCAGGAATGCGAAAAGCACTAGAAAAACAAGATATCCTAACTCATATAAATACAAGCGGACCCGACAGTCGTTGTCCTGAACACACATCTTAAATACAAAATTTCAAACTTAAAAAACCAAACAAAAAACATCTAATAATCTGAATTATTCTTGAATCCACTTAAACTCTCATCAAAATCAAATATCAATAATATCGGCACGATAAGCTAATAGATGCTCGAAATAAACACATCAACCGATAAACTTTAAAACTTTTAATTGTCAAATTTTCAATCATACTTAACCATAGATAACATTACGTTTAGCTTTAAGTAACGTTTTGTTATACTATTTTTAACAAATAAACGGCTAGATTGTTGTTTTGACTGATAAAGTTTTCTGTTTTGCGTTTTGTTATACCACGTTTTATGTCACGTCAGGATTAAAAGTATCCTAAGTCCGTCTTCTGGTTCAAAGCTACCTCCCAAGCATTTTTCAGACATATCGGTTTTGCTATTCTCGAGAGATAAAAAGTATTCTATGTTCGTCTGTTGGTTCTAAGCTACCTTGACCTTCAGCCGTTCTTGAGTTATAAATAAAATTACTATTTTAACACGACTTTATTTAACATATATAAATTTTGCAAGTAAACATATTCTTAACAATCATGTGATAGTAATACTGACAGCTGACAGTAGACTATATATGGCATTGGCTAATGCCTAATGGCAACATTGCAAGCCAACAGGGCACGTTCGATCGATGGTTAGATGTCAATATATTGAAAAAATATTTTTTCATTTAGGTATATTTATGTATAACAGTTAAATTTTTATTATAAACGATATAACAGAAAAGACTATTCTAAAGGAAACGTCGATTTCGTAGTCAAACTGTTCGAAGCAAGTATTGATATGGTGAAAGTGAATATTTATAATTTTATTCTATGCTAGTGACGAAGCTGTTTGTGGTGCTAGTAACATATGTGAAGGGGCTTGATTGTAAATGTTACGTAAGAGGCGATAACACGGAATGTCGTGGATGAATCGGGCTCAAAGCGGCGCGCCCCAGGCGCCGCGGCCGGGGCCCGATCAGACACCGTATAATACCAATCAGGTGAGCTGAGCTGCACAGGTTATGTCAACGGAGACGTAAACAATGACGTGGATAATAGCATAATGTTTTAATATTATGTAGAAACGGAATAATTAAAAAAACCCATGTAATTAGAACTGTAAGGCAATAATATTCTTGAATTACCTAACAATTAAATTTCTACCTTTTCTTTTACAGGCATATGGTGCTCAGCCAAATATATACCAAAACTTTCAATCTGGACAAAATACACAACAACAGAGTATGTACCCAGTGCAGCATGAACAACAACAACCACCACAATTTGATCAGCAATATGGACAAGTTTATTCACAGTCTAGCTATGGCAACAATTCTAATGAGTTATATCAACAACCACCTCAATTTAATCAAAACTACCCTAACCAAAATTATGACAATGTGCAACAGGGATATCAGCCAAACTTTTACCAAAATACTTCAACTCAACAACAGGTATTCAATCAAAATGTACCTAACAATGATACATGGGAAGACAACTGGGGTTGGGGATGGGATGATGCATCAAAACAAAGTCAAAAGAATGTTAGTCAAGTACCTGTACAAGTCACTCAGGAACCAGTGTACAATCAAAATGCTAATATTATTGAAGAAAGTTTTTCTTCCAATGACAACTGGAATTGGAGCATGGAAAACAAACCAAAAGAACCTTCCTTAAAATGTGAAGAAAAATTTAATACACCTGATAAAAACCAAATTAATGCGAATGCGCTTCCTTATAGCCAGGGAAATGTTAACACTACTACTTCCTTAAATTCTGAACAAGTAAAAACTTTAAATGATAGGGATGTTGTTAAGGAACAAATGCCTAACTTGATGATGGGTAAGCGATTCAATCTGGAAAACCTAACACCCCAATGGTCTATTGAGTCTCAAATGTCTCAAGATTCTAGTGATGGTCCTTTAACACACTCGGAAGGAACTCACAGTACACATAGAAGTGAAAATCAGTCCAGAAATTCTAACAAAAGCAGCCCAGGGCCAAATATTGACTCCACAACTTTTAATTTTTCACAGACTGTTCATGAAATGTCTGATCAAGTAAATGAACTTACAAAGTCTATAGAAGACTCGGTTTCCGAGAGTCATAATATGCATAATGCTAATTTATTAGACAATTCTAATGAATTATCACAATCTATGAGTCAAATGCATATAAATAAAATAGAGCAATCTGAAAATGTAAATAAAGAAGGACCTATAACTGAACACTTAGAAAACACAGTGACAGTAACCAATACATATGCTTCAAATGTGAACCAGAGACCATCACCGCTTCCATCTCCAGCAACAAATCTCCAACAGACTCCTTTGCAATCTATCTCAAGCTTGCACTCTAGACATTCACCAATGCCTCCTGCTCCCCCTGTCACTGGGTCCAGTCAACAAAATTTGAATTTGCCTCCTCGAAATTCTACAAATACTATAGCAGTTACTAATAATGTGGTGCCTACTCAAACATCTCATCCAGCAACAGGTTGTTTGCCACCACCACCAAACTTTTCATCATCTTCAACTAATCCTTTCAAGCATGCTGGACCATTTTCACACAAGACAATTGGAGTGACACAACATAATTCTTATCCAATGCCACAAGCAATATCTTCTGCTTCTAATTTGGTATCACCTGCAGCCGTAAGTAAATTAGTACAGGGCAGAATGCCAGATGGTTTTGGAGCGAACTTAGAAACCACACCAGACAACTCAGAAAGACCTGACCAATTACCTCCCTCAACATATAGATCATCTATCACACAAAATATGCCTGACAATTTAGAGGTGGCACCACAGAATGATAGAAATGAATATTTACAAACGGCTCATTTATCTGGAAATGATTTTGGAGAAAACACTGACTTCAGTCGACCCCCACCTTCTGGATCTCGAAGAATGGGGGTAGGTCAACAAGATTTAGAATATAATCAAGACTTGAACATCTCAGGTGAAGAACCACCTCCTGGTCTTGCACGTATGGTCCCTGGCCAGCAAACAGAGTCAGATAATACTTATAATCAGGCTAGTGAGGTTTATATGGATAGGCACATAGATGGTCAACCCACAGATAGCATAAATAGGCCGTATCGAAGGGCTGATGGACAACAGACTCCAGATGAATATGTACAAACTTCACAGAATAGAGGAAGTGACAGAAGACTAGTTGGTTTGGATAGAATGGTGCCTGGAGAGCCAAGTAATGATGACTATTCACAATTTCAGAACACTAACTATAGCGGAACTAATGAACAACGTGTTGTCACCGGTGTTGACAATAGCTTCCCAATAACAACTGAAGTTGGTTTATCAGAAGTTCGCGAACAGAATGTGGATGGCTCAGACTACACTGAGCAGAATTTGACTAGTACTTCTCGTAATGTAATAGGTGCCCGCGAAACAAGCAATGTTACCACGCCCGAGTTTAATCTAACTGTGGAGGATCAGCAGAGGGAAATAACTATGGAAGGAGAAAACTTACAAGATCTTAGTATGGTGTCCTCTGCTGATTTATCATTCCGAGAGCATACCTTTGAAACTACTAATATTAATATTGGCTCTAACATGGAAAGTAATGATGCTGGCCTTGAATATATAGGTAATAATTCCCGGAAACAATCCCTTAATCGGTCTTCTGGTGACTCTGGTGAATCTGAAGGCGACAGAGGCTACAAAGCTTCCCCGCGAAAAGATCGTGAAAAGCACAAACCATCAAGAGATCGTGACAAAGATTTAAAGTACCCAAGAGATGATCGAAAATACGAACGAGACTCCGAACGACGGCCTCATCCCGAAGACAGACGCTCAGAAAGGGAACGAAGAGACAAGGAAAAGGATAAAGAACGAGCAAGGAGGGACAGAGACGATAGCCCTGAGTCCCGTAGGCACCGTCGTAGCGTTCGTAGCCGACGTTACGAGACAGAAGATACTGACTATTATAGTGACAAGGAGAGAGATCGCAGGTGAGATAACGCTTAAATTTTTTCTTTTTTGTTTTGCCACTTTATTTTTGTAAAAGAATGGATTGCTCTATTTACTGTTTTAATCCTACAGGCGCTACCGTGAAGGTTCATATTCATCAAAACTGCCTCGTCCTGAAGAAAAGGATAGGCGATATGACGATCGACGACGCCACAATACAATAGAGCGAGAGCGGCGACACGACGACGAGCGCGAAAGACGGCGGCCAAAGGATCGCTACGAACGACGCTATAGGGAAATTGACCCTACACGCCGCCACCCGCGACGCCCAGATGAAGATAGAAGACGAGGTTAGTACTTTTCTTAACAATACCCACTTCTCAATCTGTAAAGTATAAACTATAAATAATTTTTAGATTTTAATATCTCATAGTACTGTGAATTTACGCTTGTTTAATTTTTGAAATGGCATCTAGGAAACTAAGTTTTTTTTTTAATGGCTCTGGCACGGTTTGTGCATTAGCCAGCGTCAAGTATAAGATTTTTATAATTCGTGCTTTTTGCCTTAGAAATTCGACCATGTCCTCCATGTACGGTTTAGGCACTCGCCCGGTACCGCACAACCCTCCCAAAGGCCTAGAACAAATTTAAATTAAATTAAATCTTACCCTCGAACCGGGAATCGAACCCGGTACCCCTCACCTAGCTGCCACTTAATAAGACCGCTAGGCTATGAGACCCCTGGAAACTAAGTTATTAATATGTTTACCCAGCAACAGCTGTGTGTTCAAAGAATGATACTCTGTGTTACTTTTGGGTATATGCATCCGCTGGTCTTCTTCGTTAGTCACATGTTAGCTTATTTGAGAGACGCGTTTATGTTTCAGTTGTGACATTTTCGAGCGATGCTAAATCGGAGTCAAGTAAAGGTAGTGCAGAGTGCTTGCTTCTCACCGCTCCACACATTTTTCGGCAATATTTCTTTAATCAATATCAGATCATAATATTTATTTTGCTTTCAATTGATGTTTCCATTGCATATTGAATTTGCTTTATCGCCGGAATTGCTTTGATTTCTTCGTCTCACGGATCATCAGCCGGGGTCGTATCGTTTTGTTAATTAAAATTGTTCATGTAAAGATCTGTATGACACGCTATTTGTCTAATGAAATAGGTTGAATTCAACGGGGTTTCACTCCATATAATGAAAGGAGTAATTAATAAGTGTTTAATAGTTTACGCTGATTATCACAATCTTAAAAAAATAAATTGTTATAACTATACTTTTCAAAGCATGAAATCTTGATAGTGAATTGACCTTGCTTTCATGTTCTAGACTAAACTAGCATTAATAAAACCATTTGCATATATTGCATCAACAAGTTTCTATGCATGAAATTACAAAACCAAGCGTAACAGGTTTATTGAATGCTGACTGAAACTTAAAAATGGTTATGCCCAGCAAATATCACGATATCAGATTTCTGCTTACAACAAACAATGTATCAGTAACGGAATTTCTGTTACTCTGTTTATTTTAGTAGTAGTACCACAATAATTGATTGTGCAACTAATTTAATTAATTTTTATTACTAATAAAAGATTTCAGACATTGTTATGATTAAAAGTAATTTACGTAATCGTTTGTGATAATGACTGCAGCTGAGAAGCTCAGGGCAAATAAAATATTAATTCTTCATTTAGCAACGACGAACATTGAAGTAATCCTTTACCTCACAACATTTTCCATATCTAAGCAGGAGGAGATACGTACTCGTCAGGTTCTCGTGCCGGGTCACGTGAAGCCACTGCAACAGATGAAGATCCAGACGAGCCCAGGAGAAGGCCTCGCGATGAGAGAAGGCGGCATAGGACCAGACCGGATCCACCATATGACGGTTAGTATGCGAGGGTGATACAGGATTCTACTGATTTATAAAATTATACTAGCTTACCCGACAATCGTCGTTTTTCCAATTATATTATTTCCAGGAAACCTTTTTTAGTTCAATAAAAAACTATCTACTATTTAATAAAAAATAGGGGTTGATCGTAGAGATGAAAATTAAGGCTTGTATGTATTTTTGTATGCTGTATCATAAAAAATAAAGTTTTGTCTAAAAAATAAAAATGTAGGGGTGGGACCACCCTTATCATTTAGGGGGATGAAAAATAGATGTTGTCCGATTCTCAGACTTACTGAATATGCATAAAAAATTTCATAAGAATCGGTCGAGCCGTTTCGGAGCAGGATGGGAACGAACAGTGTGACACAAGGATTTTATATATTAGATAACTTCTAAACTACATAATGATTTTGTGTATTATTACTTGGTGCTTTATTAAAATTTTCTTAATATTTTCTATACAGAGTACGCGATGAGTGGTTACGGCGGTGATGCGTACGCTGCGCAGTATGAATACTACGAACGCTTGCGACGCACTGACCCCGCCGCTTACATGCGATTGTATCATCAGATTATGGCTGGACATCTTCAACAACATCGCTATCCTGGTACGTTTTATCATTTATGTATTTATTTCCTAATGTAAATCCAAAAGCATTTTCCGTTATGACGCTCAAAATAATTTTATTTTGGCTAAAGAATGAATTTTGTTATTATATTTTATTCCTCCATAAAAAAATATGTTTATTATGGAATATAAGATACAGGTATCACTTGTTCCACGTCATTAAATTTGAATTGGTAGACATCGGCAAAGATGACAGAGGGTGTAGGCCGAGAGAAAAAGCCGGCGTAAAAAACTCTCGATACTCTTTTAAAATAGCAAATCATCATAAAAATTACTATGTCAAACAACACTTATTTTAAAACAAATATCGCAAATTAATTAGAAGTCGCCTGTCTAGCACTAGCATTCATACCTTTGTTTGATTACTTTTTGTAATTTTATCATGAAATTTTTAAATTCTATACGTGTATAATATAATTTCAGGTTATGAGTTGCGAGGAGAAGAGCGTGGTAGCGTGCACTCGGGCCGGTCCAGTGCGAACGGACTGAAGGGACCCGACGCGTACGTAGACTTGCAATTATCTCTGTATTATGTCGATATTCATCATTCATCTTAATATATTATATAAATTACGTGTCACGTTTGTCCGCTATGGGCTCCTAAACTACTTAACCGATTTCAATCAAATTTGCATACCGGGTGCAGTTTGATCTAACTTAAAAGATAGGATAGCTTACATCTCAATTTATACCCGGAGTATTATTTTATTGCAAAATATTTGTTTATTATTTGATAGTCACAATCTAACAGATGGCGCTGTGTTGAAAGTACCAACGTCTCACATAAGCTACAACTTAATGGCATAACCACCAAAAAAGCATGGTCCCCATGGGTCCCCATGACTGGTGATCTCCTTCCGTTTCCCTTGAATAGTTTGCTACTATGTAATATAACAAAAACTTGTCCGAGTCTGCTAGTATGTTATATATTTGTCTTCTTATACATTTAAAGTAGGCGTAATAGAAATAGAAGTGTAGATTTTTATATAGAATTGTATAAATACCAAATGCGTGAGGACGAAGTACACAAACATATAAATTACTAGCTGGTCCCTGCGACTTCGTCTGCGCAGGATTAGTATTTCGAATAGCTTATATTAGCGTGGTGTAAAAAAAAACTACTAAAGACTATTTAACTATTTAAGATAAACATTTCCATCATACATTACATATGTGTAACTCTATCGGTTTTGGCAGCGCACGCCAGAATAACTCGCAGATGGTAGATTTTTTTCCTACTTACTTGATATTTGGCCAATTCTCCCTATTTTTATAAATTGTAGCCTATGTGTTATTCTGATGTATAAGCTATATTATTGTAAAGTTTTATTAAAATCCATTCAGTAGTTTTTATGTGAAAAGTAACAAACATCCATCCATACTTACAAACTTTCGCGTTTATAATAGATTTTTTTAAATTTCATCGCTTCTATGGCTTCAGTTCATTAGTTAATCCCGTACGTAGTGATTTTGACTTTTAGTAAAAAAATACAATTGTATCGTGTTAGAATCATTTGTTGGCATAGTTGAAGTAGCGACTAACCTCAAATAGGCTATCGGCTTAAAAACACGAGAAAAAAAACCCAAAATGGTTTTTCTTATGACATTACTTGTAAAAAGGTATTAACTAATAGGTATGGAACACAGCTTTTTCATAACCACAGCCTAACAAAAGCATTCACATATTTTAAGCAAATTAAGTTTCATATCAATATTTATAACTATACTGTATCGATGGATTATATAAGATTTTGCTGCTTCACACATTACAATTATATATATATGGCTTAATCGTAGAATGATGATGTGGCCGACTATTTGATGATTGTATATTATGCTATAGAAATTTAAAAAATCTTATGCCCTCAAAGAAAGTTTAGCCATAAACAGCTAGTATCATCATCACTCACAGGTTTTGGTGCTAGAATTATAAAGTTTAACCGCTTGTGTATTATATTTTAATTAGAAATGTCAAATCAAGCTGGTCTTAGTCAAAATAGAAATTTGATTATAATTTTTTATTTTCGGCCACAATTTTTTCAGAGTCAATTCATAAAATACTTATTCTTGAAATTGTGGGCCATGTCACAAAATCTACGATTCCACGACATATTTATCGCATTAATTAATCAAAAAAGTCAATCAAAATTGGGTGTGTTATATAATGTATAGCAGAATTCACAAACCATCAACATGCTTTACATCATGCACGGGAATCTATAGTTTACAAAGCCTAGATTCGAATTTCGAACACAAATTTGTCTGTAAAATATTAAAAGACAAAAGTGTTTGATGTTGCACTGTGTGGCATGGTTTGTGCGTGCGAGTGTATGTGTGTGTGTAGGTACTACGGGGGGCTGCTGCAAGCGCCGCCAACATTCCGCACTGATGTGTCCGACAGGTATACCAACATCTTGCATGCTTGTTCATGAATCATTGCACACAAAATACTTAAATCTAGAAATATTCAGATATCTGTTTTTTTATATATTGTATGACGTGATTCTAATAACTTTTCACTATAGTTTGAATTCATTCGTAGCTAATTTTGTTTAATTTAAAAAAATCTATACTAACTTGCTTGTTTTCTATATGTATTTGAGTATTTTCATAATTATGAGATTTCAATCGTATTTCACTTGCGTGTATCATTTTATCAATTTAAACGACATTATCACCTGTTTTAACACGTATTTAAAATTTGTTCATATGTATAGTATAGGTCTATGGTGTTTTGTGTATATTTTATCTTCATTAGTTAGTCTGCAATTGTATGAGGTATTATGATAACATTGATACTGACTTTATTATATTTTCTTTTCTAACGAAAAATAATAAGATGGTCGGTCTTCGAGCCTTTAAAATAATTTCTCGCTAATTATTTAACTAATAAAGGAGTCTTGTATGTAATCTGTGGTGCTGTATTTTGAGCTTTAAGTGTTACCAAGGAGTTCCTCACTAACCTGTGTTAACTTATATAATGTGTTTATTAGAGAGGTGACCACAGACGCGTCCCTTAATCTGCAACTGGAAGACTCCACGGTGCGCTCCGAACGAATGACGCCCTTTAAATACTCCACAGCACATATCAAGGTATGAATATTTTTCTGTTTAAATGTGTTACTTTAATAATAGTTTTATACTAAAGTTAAATGTCTTACTATATATGTTCGCCTTCAATGGTTTTTGTTTTGATATAAATTAAAAACATCTATAACCTGTTACTTTCCCTCCTAACACCATACTAATGTCCGCAAAGTATGGTCCGCAAATAGTTGAAAAAAATATTTTCTGTATTTATGCCATAATATTTTTAGCTTTGGTGTTTTATTGGTAGATTAAGGAAACAGTGAACACATAAGTTGGAATAATCAGTGTTCATAAGTAATATAATGATAAATGTATGTTAATGTATCTAGTATTTGGAAAAAGGCTCTTACTATTATTCTTAGCTTAATATATACAATTAGACCAAAACCAACTGAGAAACGATAATATTATGAAAATTTTTTCATAAAATTATCTGTAATATCTAATTATAGAGACTGCGGAAAGTGAACCTGCGTGGCGGTTACGAACGAATATAATTTTATTTTTTACGAGTCTTGAAATTTATTCACAAAAATTATATACATTTAGTGTTTTAATATTAGTATCAATTTGTTTTTGTCGACCTATGATGACAAAACTTTTGTCAAAAAAAAAAACATTTAACACTGCAGCGGCCTCAAATCCCACGAAGGCTCTCTTTTTTATGCCAGTTTCAGACAAAAACTACACGCGAGAAAAAATAAACAAAGACATCAAAAGGAAAAAAATAGATAAGTTAGTTAAAAACAAAATATGTACATACACATATTAAATCTTAATATTAGTAGTCATTATGAAAGATCATCATATATTATAATACATACAATAAAGAATAAAGCAAAAGGCAGGAGATTATAGTCGGAAACGGAACATGTAGTAATTGTAAGGAATTCAAAAAGGAGGTGCGGTCATATTGGGAACAAGAAAAGAGGGATGTCAAAAGTAAAAAGTCAAAATCACTTATTCATATAGGTAACACAATGTACACTTATGAACGTCAAAAAAGAGTGATGGCTCTCTTTCGCACTGAATCTACTACATTTTATATTACTATGCGTATAGGGGACCCTATCCGCTGGGACTCTCGTGGTGGTACGTGCGGCATGGCCGGCAGATGGGCGACCAGCACCGGTGCGACTATTACCACTCACAGCTTTACTGGCAGCTGACCCCATGGCCCAGGAATTAGCTGCACTGCCCGGACCACTCGTTAGAGGTAATTATCGGTTTAAGGAAATCTGTTCTATACATTTCTGATATGGTAATTCACTAAAATCTCGAAAATCTTCCCGAATATTATGAACGATTTGTACTGATAAATTAAAACTATTTTTTTTATTTAAACAGTATATTTAACATATAGTAACAATGTACACTAATTAGTGAAAAAAAAAAAAAAGTGTATGAAGTGCGTCTAACTTTGCTGTTCTCAGAATCAAGGGCGTAGAACAAGAGAGAACTGGACACTTCGTTTTTACGCATGGATTTTTTTTTTAAAGATTTGACAAAACTGTGTACAAACATTTTATACTTTACATTCGAAGACAATTTTCGTATACTACTAGTCATAACTAAAATCCCTAAATTCTAGCATTAATTAAAACTAATTCAATATTTACGAAGACAATTTTAGTACTACTTAAACTTTTTATTTACGTTTGTTTCAGGGGTGTGACTCACAAGAAGACCGTGATAGAGTATTGCATGACCCGGGTACGAGATGCCCCTCGGTGTGAGGCGGCGCGTCGTGACGTCACAGGGTACACACTTGTTTGGGAACTGCTCGCTCTACTACTGAGACAGAATGGGGTCAGTTAATTCATGTTTTTTACTTGTTGTTCATTTATTACATGATTTGTCATATAATTTTACATTTCTAGCTAATATTTTCATTTTCTGTATGTGTTAAGAAACATATACAGCCATTGAATGTAAAGAATTATTATATGTTTTTTTTGTACAATAAAATGGTATTTTTTTTTATCTAGGTGGTGATGGGATCGGACGTAGCAGAGCTGTTGATGAATAACGCTAAAGAATATGAGTACCGAGTGCCCTCACTTACACCACCCTCAGGTACCTACTGTACATATATTATAAAGGGGAAAGATTTGTGACGGATAAACTGAAAAAAAATTCTTGGTAGCATAGTAACAGTGAAATTTTTTTTATTCAATATTTATTTCCTAAATTAAAAATGTTCATCAATGGAAAGCCTGAAGCGGCTTGTTTATTATATCTTATATCCATTTATATATCTCTAAATATTTATTACCGTCTTAGTAAATTTCCTAGGTTTCCTGTAGGAAATTGTTTCGGGTTAGAATGAACTGAGAGACTATCAAAGTACTAAAATATTGTCTAATCCAATACTTATTTGGAGGGTTGGGACTGCGAAGAATGCAGAAGTAGAAGTTTTTAAATACATAGTAAACTTCGTTTAATGAAAATTAGTTTTGGTAATTTAGAACCCATATTCAATTGATTATAAATATTTATACAATAAATTTTAACTGAAAAATTTTTTTGTCTCTTTTCATCACACGGTAACAATACGATAGTAAGGAACCAAAGAGTACTTTAAGAGTGAAAGGGGAAATTCTAGTAGGGATTTTTAATATTCTATGATTGATGTATGAACAGAACGCGTCGCGTCTTCGGCAAGCCTTAACTGTGAAGAAGAAGCGGCTGATGTTCAAATTACACCACCTCTGCCAAGTAAGTAGTGTTATATTATCAAAAATAAATGTTACTTTTAAATTTTATTAACTAACTAACGATTGACATGTCAATTAATAGATTCAAATTAATAAACGTATTGTTAGATTGTTGTAGCAGATACAAACAACTTAATATTTAATGTTTTTTGTAGCCCCAGCAGAACCAGAGGTGATGGTGGACGAAAAAGAGGCAACAGAAAAGCTTAGAGAGCTACTCATGTATGGCAGTCAGCAGGAAGCACTTGGTAAATATTAATTAATTAAAAAATTTATGGATGTAATATACTGAAAAGTGTAGATTCGAAGTAGTATCAAAAGTTCCCTAATTTCATCTCATTTAATTTACAGTTAATGTACAAGTTCATATTTTTAGATTATATTTTGATGTGAAACATCTATAGCCGCACGTAAAACCGATTTCTGACGCATGCCGTGGCGACGCGTCGCCACACTATATGATGGTACATATATACAGTCTATATGCAGTAGTGTGACGGTGTGTGTCATTTCGAAGTCACTGATTAAACGAATTAAGTAGTCACGATTTGAAATAAATTCGTACATTTTTGTATTTAATGAAAATAAATGTTTATTCAATAAATAGTTATCGTTATCATATTGAGTTCCTATCACAATCTGTTCTTTTCTGCATATTACTTTTCAAAATAATGTCGATGTTTCACATCTGCCAGGCGTCCCGTGAGAGGCTTACATTTTTTTAGGTTATATTTCAGTTTGAAGTATTCAATGTCATCGACAGTAGTTTTTGTATCTTTCTGATATGACTTACAAAATATTGGGTGCCTAATAGGTATTGACTTATATTAAGTATAGAGATTAATTAGACGGTATAACAAAATGTATATTATAATACAATTAGAAATGTAATAAAATTCAGGTACGTGATGTACTGATTTTCTCTCAGCAGGTTCAGCAGAATAAAAACGACTCATATTACATACACTTTGTTTACAGCCTGTTTAATAGTGAGATAAACTTATAACATTGTATTACCAGAATGGGCGATGAATAAGGGGCTATGGGCACACGCCCTCACCTTAGCAGCAGGATGCGAACGCCGAACACGTGGTGCCGTATCTGCGCGATTCGTGGGAGCTCTGTCCGCCACCGACCCCCTGCATACGCTTTACGCTGCAAGGGCACAGCGTACGCCACCTGCTGCCACCGTATGTAAACTTTCTTTACCTTACTGACTTTGAAGTTTCGGCATATACCTTTAGTTTGTAGAAAACCGAATTAGAGGAACCTAAGTTATAGAGAATCTAAAAGGAAGTTTTCTGACTTAATACAGAGTTGTTTAAAGAATTGAAGAAGATTGTCAAAAGAATTGTATTGATAAGAAAAACCCATAATCAAGTAATATCGACGTTTTAGCAGTATGACGTTACCCGGAATTTGTGCACTGAGTTTTAATTCCGTAGAATTCTGACAGCTATCATTTTTTGACAGGTCAGAGATTACAAACCTTTTTGGCCGGGCACATTTTCCAATTTCAATACGAGTCAACATCTGTGTCTAAACAAACATTTGATTTATTAGTGAATGTATCCATTTTGTTAAGTGCGGTGCTCAACATTAAACGTGGTTTTACGGCGACTTATAATTACGTCCCTTTTCATCACAAACAGTAAAAAAACGAAGGTAAAGATAACATTTTAGTTTTTTTTAAAGGTTTACTAGACCTGGAGTTGGTAGGCAGTGCAACTTGTTTAGTAGCAACATTTATGAAATGACAGAATTCTACGGAATTAAAAATCAGAGTATAATTCGTTAAAATCATGCGTAACACCGCTAGCGAAATTTTAATATCTTGTCACAGTTATACAGAAACGCTTTTTACAATTCAACTTCGTAAACCCGGCCATTTTCTACATATAATGTAAAAGATCGAGACGATGTAAAAGTCTCGTTCCAATAGATAACCCTTATTATAACAAAATAAAATATGTATATCTCTGTCTAATATTACCTTATAGTGCGTGGGTGACGTTCGATGGGGTGACTGGCGGCCTCACGTAGCCATTTTGTTGGCTAATCCCTCAACTAAGCAGGAACAAGACCAAAGGACCGTCACCCAGTTTGGTAACAAGCATTTTTTTATAATTATTTTGTATGTATATGTAAAGCCTATAATATATAGCCTTTTTGTAACTCAATTATGTTATTAAAAGGTTAACATTTCAATATAAAAAGGTTTATTATAATATGCAATGGATTTAATAAATTTTATAAAAAAGTGTATAATAATCTTTTAGCTTCATAATACAATAATGGTATGATAAATTTGTGTTTGGATTTACATTTACTTTCATTTTTATCGATGAATTTCTAGTATTTAAAAATTGCTATGAAATTTATCTACATTTTAATACGTAACATTTCAGGCGATTCGCTAGCGGCCCGTGGACTTTTATACTCAGCTCAGTTCTGCTACTTAACCGCGGGGATGCCTTTCGCGCCTCACCCATTGGCGCCTTATGCGACGCCCACACCTGCCACGCCCATTGCGCCACGCCTCTCGCTGCTATTGGCTGATGGAAAAGCCAACAACCTGTCACACTTCGCTACTAACCAGGCGATATTCGCAACTGAAATTTACGAGTACGCAGTGTCGCTCAGTCAGGATTATATCATTGATAATTTGCAGGTATGACTTATTAAGATAAAAAATATAGGAAATTCATTTTTGTCTCATTCGTTTACGAAAAGTTCTTAGAAGAGTTACTAATTATTAAGTGCCTACTCTGTGGTGATACTAACGTTCTAAGGAATATATGATGTCGAAATGTATCTATTTTATTTTATGAATTGTTTCTTCACTGAGACATCATTGAACATTACGATCCTAACTTAAGACTAATAAGTAATGTAAGTCTAACCTTATTTAGAAATAAGGTTTCAAATAATACTACTTACAGTCTCTATTAAGGGGAAGACACTCTGTTCTTGTGTTCAATTTTTTCACGTACCACTGTTTAGCTATTAAGACTAACGTGCACTAACACTAATGAGGCCCGTCGTGTCAATAAGTTGAATCAGAAGATAAACCACTCCTTAAACGGAAATTGTATTCGTTTTTACAACAAACTCCCAAGCGAAATTAAAGAATTAACACTGAATAAATTCAAAATTCGTTAAACGTAAATTAATCAATAAAGCTTTTTATAAATTTGACGATTATTTAAATGATCCTTAGGATTGAACTGGTAGTAAATTTAGAATCAATGTAATATCTTTTCTGTTGACGTTCATAAATGTACTTGGCTACCTAAATGAATAAAGTTATTTTGAGTTTGATTCAACAATCTTTTTAATTATTCTAAATGAAGATCCGAAAATTACTTGCTTTATTTGCATAACCCAAATAATGCTTTATTTGGGTTACGCAAATATGATGATGATTGAGGCAAAGGGTGTACCAACTCCGCCCACTTTATACAAACTATATATACTTATAAGTAGTAAGGGCTGGTGATCTGCTTGCAGGTATACAAGTTTCTCTTAGCCACCCGGCTAGCAGAGTGTGGGTTTGTGGAACGAGCCCTAAGGTATACGGAGGCAGTCGGTCGAGCTGCCCTCGCGAGACCACAATCCCAGCCGCCGGCACTTCTTACTGCTGTTACACACCTTGCAGACAGGTAATCATTTTTGAATTCTATTGGCGCGTCAGGGAAAAATGATGAGTAAATTTTTACGATGCGCGCGCACACCGTCACAAAAAACCGACACGTCGGTACGCCCAGACTGGGCCGCTAGTTGGCGCTTGCTCTGTTTTATTTTTTCTGAGTGTACTCTTTAACGGGGTCTACTTTTGGGGAATGGTCGAACTTGAATTTGTGTGTAACAGGTAATTGTTTTCTGACTTGATTCATAATGATACTACGTTTACGTGTTGTTCCCATAGTAAGTGGATGAAAGATTGACCAGGCCTATTTCTGATTAACATTTGTTTTTCTCTGATCTGATGAGGAGCAATTGTTGTTCTCGTCCGTTCACTGTTCTTGATTTTAGATCTGGCAGTAAATGTAAATTTAGAAGCATAATTTTTAACGTTTATTGTGTTATCTATATGATCTGAGGAATGTAGTAAGTCTGTTATGTGATCTGCCAATTTATTTGATATTTTTAATTGTCTCTTAATATGAAATGACACAGTGAAAGTTTGTTTTTTTTTTTGAAGTTTAAGACGCAATCCACATTAATAAAAAATAGTATATCGTATAAATTATATATGTTTGAATAATTTAAATTCCTATGACGACAACTGTATAAACTTTCGTTATAAATAAAAATAAAGTCGTCGTCGGCCATTTATTAAACTAAGTTAAACTCGACTACGAGAACGTAGCTGTTTTGATCTTGAATATTACATTTTAAACATCACGTTTCAAATTTAAATGGAAAGCAAGAAACACGTAGAAACGTAACGTAAACGTAAAGAACTAAGTTTTTTAAAGCGATTAAAATTACACCCGAATCCAGTTTTACTTGATGATTAATTTCTTTATACCAGACTAAAGTATCACGACCCAGCCGAAGCAGCTGGCGAAGATGTGGCTGATACTGGGGAAGGAAGTGGTGAAGGTAGCGGGGAGCCTTCCCCTCGACATACCCACTGGATACAGGACGTTAGGGATATGGCGCACGCTGCTGTCATCGCTTCGGTAAGTTCATTGTCATGTGACCACTCCGAAAATTTCTAAAACATTTTTAGAGTTCCCAACATTACATAATTTATAATCATTACGTAGAACCTCGTTAAGTCGAACCTCGATAAGTCAAAAACCTCCAAATCTCGAAAAAATGTTTTGTTCCCTTCCCTTAAAACACCAAAACCTCCATTACTTGAAATCTTGACCCTCTGTTAATCGAAATAATCACCGAGTCCCTCCAAGCCATTTTGGTACATATTTTCACTCTATAACTCGAAAAATTAAATTTGACCTCTGTATCTCGAACATAGGAACGTTTTATTTTACAACCTTTACAACTTGATCATTTGGAATTTATTATCTCTATTGTTCGAACAAAAATAAGTTAACGACTTTAAGAACTTGCCGACAATGTGAGTACACTATTGTTTCTTAGAAAACATTTTAGGAGTATACATTAATAAATTTATGACTCATGGAAACACGTGTTTGCTTGCTTTGTGTTAGGTGTTCAATTTTGATTCCCTTTGAAATTTACCTAAGCCAGTCATTTGTTTTCGACAAAATTTATAAGAATAAACCTCAAACTCTTTATGTCGAATCAAAATCCTCCATAAGTTGAAAACTCTATAACTCGAATTTTTTGGCGTCTCCCTTGATGTTCGACTTATAGAGGTTCTACTTATAATTGTATTTTAATTTGTATGTAATATTATTTTTTTAGGACACGGTATATATTTTTTAATGATGTATTGTTTCCTTATTCCTTGAATGTACCTTACAAACATTGTGTACCTAAAACAAAAAAACTTGGCGATTAAAAAGAGTGGCGGAGTCTTTTTTGCCAGTTCTTCTCTTCCGTTCTACGCCCTTGATTTGAAAACTGGCAGTAAATGTAAAATTAGAAGCATTTCATATATATTTATTTTTTGACGTTTACATTTTGTTACCTATATGAATAAATGATTTTTTAAATTGAATGTGTTATTCAATATATATATTCATATTTAAAATGATTAATTCCTAAATTTCTTAAACAGCATCGGTTTGCTTAAAATCAACGATACATTAATTTGCGCATTGTTAAATATGTCTAAATTTCAAACTAATTTTTAACTTTTGCAAATTGTAATAAAATTGCAAGTAATTCTGGGCGATTAGGTTTTAAAACTAAATGTTAGGTCATATTTTGCTCGCCTAGACTGCCACAAATATCAAAACATCTTTTTTAATATTCCATTCCTAAATATTACACAAGTTAAAAATGGATATCGGAGCGCGTTTGATGCATATGTTTGTGTATTTCAGGCGGAAGCATCTCAACAAAACACGCCGCAGCATCAGCCGATAGCAGACCCTTATTCGCAACAGACCTGGGCTGATCAGGTGAGGAAATAATTTATGAAAAATCTCTCAAAGAAAACCTTTGTTAAGGGTTATCAGTCAAAGTTATGCTGAATAGGAACCTATTCATCCTATTCAGCTTAACTTAACATAACTGATTGTTCTTATTTTTTGATTCATTTATGGTTAAATATGTAATAAAATTGTAGTAATATACCTTTTTCTACTTTTGTGTATATTTATCGATTATATTTTTACTCTTTTCAATTACAGACAATCCAACCTCAGAATTACCCTGAAGTTCAGCAACAGGATCCACAACCAGACTATCCGCCTCCTGCCCAGTATTATCAGCCTCCCACTACCACTGCCACTTCCGCTCCTGCTCCCGCGCCCACTGAAAATGAGCACGCGTATACGGCCACAGATGATTTTATGTACGGCGGCAACGAAACAGATTATACTTATGGCGGCGAATGGACAAGAGATGATCCCTATTGGCAGGGTGATTCTCAGTACCAATATGGAGAGGTGAGTTCACGATTTGCGAATAGTTTAAATATTCTGACAATTTTACACTGATTTTAAGTCTGCGCGTTTTTGATTGAATTTTTCCTTACCGGGTGTCGTTATTCGCGGAATCGTGTGAATTTGTGTTGTGAATAATTTTACATTAGCGGTTTGCGGTTTTTTCCCGCTAATTTCCGTTGCAATGTGAAAAGTATTAATTTATTTCATCTCGAGCTATCGCGGGAAAAAATCGTAATACCGCTCTAAGTGTTGTGAGTGTCGGGTTGCTAACACGTGTTGTGGGTAGCGCCCGCGTGGGCTGCGGCGGCGAGGTCCCGTGCCCGTGCCAAGGCCCCCGCGCCCCACTGCGCCGTGCCCCGCGCCCCGCCGGGTCCTTCGCCCTGCCCTCAGCGCCGGCCACTCGCCGCTCTTCAAGCCCCTGGTGTTCGGCGGGACCTACCCCATCGACGAGCCCTGCGATCGCGTCTCGTCCTCGGACGACGAGCAAGGAATAGGTTTGCCCGACACGGTGAGGATATTCGAGTCGATGCTCGCCCGCCGCGCCAATATGTATCGCCGGGGGTACAGAGGTGGCCGAACGCCCCAAACGTTCGAAATCGATGAGCCCCTAGACCTTGCGGACACGCCCCGCGAAGCCTTCTTCCGTGAACGAGACGCGAAGTACTACGTCGCCGGACCGAAGACCTTCGACATTGACGAACCCTTTATACTTGAATGAAGTATCAAATCCACAAATTTGTCCCGAGTTGAAAGTCGACGTTCTGTTTGCAATCAAGTTCCTGATTTAAGCAATTTGCACGTTCGAGTTTAATTACTAATCTCAAATGTTTATCCGAAGTTCAAGATTCTTGTGAAGTAAAACGTGAGGTGCCATATCTAATAATTTACGTTCAAATAAAATAATTTAATTTATTTAAATGTTTTGTTGTCTATAGCAGCACAAAAGTAAGCATAAATTGTAGTTTTCCACTGATTGTGATGTTTTAGTTGTTTGATGTTAGTCTTTGTTGTGAATCTAACTTTTTAGTCTGTGATATTTGATCTGCTTTTGATGTTGCATTTATTTATTCTATTTCGTTTACCGTCCAAATTGCGGTCCGTTAAATTAATTTAATTAAATTGTCTAATGTTGCCGTCTTAAGAATAGATGTTATTATTTAAGAAAAAAATAATTTTACGAATATTTATTAACATATGTGAAATGTTGTTATTTAAAATTGCTGCTTATTTATTTGCACTGTATCTCCTATGTACATTTATTAATAAAATCTAATAAAAGCGCAGTGACTTTAATTTTAAACTAAGTCTGCCGAAAATAATTAATAATACATATTAAAATAAGACTTCTTTAACGAGAATTAAATCGACTAACAAATGAAACGCTACTTGTAAAGAAGTTTTATTTATATTTGTATGAGCATATCTTCGTAAGAGGCGCGTAGGGAATGCATAACGTCACTGTAGAATGATAACCTCGTATGTCAAAAAATTTATTTTTTATTCATAGACTCTTAATTTAACTGGTATAGTCATGAAGTAAGGACTTATTTATGTTATTAATAAGTCTTTTTTACCATCTAAAACTATGGACAAAAACACATATAAATATATTTACGAGCATTGACGAAATGAATTATACTCTGGACATACGAGGTTATCATTCTACAGCGACGATAATGTTACAAGTCTTAGGCAAGTTAGTGTCAGCAATAAATTAGTCGACAGAGTTAGGCAAAATGTAAGATCTAACGAATAGAAAATTCATGTAAAATTAAATTTTAGTCTTTAGGCATTTAATTCTCGTTATATACTAACGAATTCGTAGAAACATTTTGGTATATCCGAAGGAGAAAGAAGGGCATAATTATTTTATAGATTAGAGGTAAATTACCTCTAAAAAACCTAACGCTAAAAAACATTTGTCTACCGCATTTCCTACGTAAGTTAGGCATTTACTATAAGTTAAGTATTTTTTTTTAGTCTATAAGTATATGTTATGACAGCAGGATCAAAATGGTGTAACAGATCAGCCCGCGCCAACCATAACAATGCCAGGTGCTTCCCGACCTGTCCCTTTCAACAACTACGAAAATGATCGTCCGCCCAGTGCAGATGTAAGTAATGCTAGAATTTAAAGTACGGCATAATGAAGTTAAGGAAATATATCGAATTAAAAAAAAAAAGAGTGTGTGTACTTATGTACACGCGTAAGAAGTTATACTTCTTTGGCGTATAGAAAAAAATACATAATAAATTATTAAATACTATCACCGTCGCATATGAAATTGATTTAATAAAAACACCAAAATAATATTTATTTATTCACACTGTTTAATTGTACTGTTACGAAACACGTGTTCTAAATATAAAAATACTAGAATATACAACTTGAACATAGTTATTATCGATTTTCATGCCACCTGGAACTAACTTTATGATGTAGAATTTATGTCGGTGTGCGCGCGCATCGTAAAAATTCACTCTCATCATTTTTCTCCATCGCGCCAAAAGAAGTATAACTTCAACAAATTCATGATATAATCATTATTACTATTTAAATTTTTTAACATATGAAAATATATAACTTACTTCGAATGTGATTCAAAAGAACGATTTAAGTAACAGTGATTAACGAGCGAACGAGTTAAATAACACTGATTCACCAATTCATTGATTTAATCTAATATATAAAATTCTCGTGTCACAGTTTTCGTTGCCATACTCCTCCGAAACGGCTTGACCGATTCTCATGAAATTTTGTGTGCTTATTGTGTATGTCTGAGAATCGGACAACATCTATTTTTCATCCCCCTAAATGTTAAGGGTAGTCCACCCCTAAATTATTTTTTTTAATTTTTAGATAAATTACTTATTTTTTATTTTTTTATACAACCCCTAACTTTCACCCCTCTACGATCAACCCCTATTTTTTTATTATAAATGATATACATGGCAAAACGACGTTTGCCCGGTCAGCTAGTTAATTATAAAAGGCATGTTTTGTTAAAGCATTAATTTGGACGTAAGATACCTTAATTTTTGTTTTATGACCAACAGCAAACAGATCGAGAGACTGACACTCCAAAGCCAGTGAAACCGGACAGCAAGGGGGACAAAGAGGACAACAAGGGGGATAATAAAAAAGGAGGCTGGCTTGGGGGAATCCTTACCAAGTTATCCCTTCGTGGCCCCAATCAGATGATCCTGCCCGATGATAAGAATCCCACAGTAAGTGCCCAATTACTTAAACATAAACCTATGCCCACGCTACTGTAGATTTTTTTGTTCATTTTGAAACATTTATCTGTTTAGTAGATTTCTTTTGTTATTTTTTTTGAAAACCTATTTGCTGTTTATATACTTTATTTATTATATGTATTATTTTATGTAGTTTATTATTTTTCTGGATATTTTTATATGTTTATTCGTATCAATAAATAACTTATATTCTGTTTGTCTTTTATTTGAAACTTTTCATGCATGTTGATTAACATATATAAAAAAATACAAAATATTTGTGACCTTGTCAAGGGAGAAGTCAAGAAAGTTGTATAATAAAAGGACTTTTATTATATTTTAGCTACATTTTTTCGCCCAAAACATTCCAATGATTCACACATGTCTGCTTTTGTTTCATTGACATATGGTTTTTCTTTCACCGCTTATAAAATATAATTTCGTCCCATCGAACGGCAAGTTACGCATCAAAAACGGCTTAATTGTTGTCTCTTTCAAAAATAAATGTATAAAAAGGGATATCAAGACTAAATAGGTCTGTACGTAATACGTGTGTAGATCGTGTGGGACGCGGCCACCAAGCGTTGGGTGAATCGCGACTCTCCTGACGACGAGCCAAGCGCGCCGCCGCCACCGCCCCGTATGGCGCCGCCACAGCCGTGAGTTATGATTTCATTCATATATTATAAGTCTGTTAATGTAAATTCGTTATGTTTGGTGATTCATGTATAATAATTTTATCTTGTTTACTGAGATAATATTTACAACTCCCATACAGAGCCGCTATTTATTCCATTTAATTAAATAGTGGCAAAATTTCGTTTAGTTTGAATCTAATTTAACTGTCTCTAGATGTCGATTCTGAGATATAGTGTAAACTCTTTATAACGTCATTCGTTATAACGCCATTTCGTTATAACGTCATTCGTTATAACGCCATAGTCTCGCTACGCTAGTAAAAATGAGGTAAATTTATGTGGTGTTTAACCCAATACCCATACTTTAATTCTTCCTTGCCTATAACGAAACCTCTCTATAACAAATAAAAATGCTCGGTCCCTTCAAATTCGTAGTAATGAGTATACACTGTATATATTCTATTGGTTTTTTGAATTGCAAAATATCCTTTTAAACATTAACATTAAAAATTGTAAAGCAACTGCGAGCAAGCAAAACAGTGTGTCTTCGTTCCTAAGTCAGATAATTACTACAAAACTAATAAAGTTTAAGTATATTAACGGTTACAATTACGTTTAAGTTTCAATTTAACGTTCAACTGTCTCAAAATGTCTAAATTACTCGACGCTTCCTACCAATAGTAGTACCAATAGTAAAACAATGTTTGTCTCCATATAACTTTCTATAACGAAAATGCAGTCTCTTCAGCGCTGTAGAGAGCTTACACTGTACCATGTATGCTAAGGATTTATAAGTACTTACGCTTGTGACAGGGTCACATCGACGCCACTTCAGTCTCCTGGTGGTATTCCACCTGGGGCCTCGGCTCTAGCTCCTGGCATTCCCAGTGCTGCGGGTGGCAACCTACTACGAATGCAGAGGGGCAGAAGTAAGCGTTTTATTTAAATTTAATATGAACATAACAATATCTTTATATGAGTACTTTTATAGTCTACTCTTAAACTCGTCAGCGGGAGACTGGTAAATAATCATGTTTCGATAACTTAGTTTTATTTTGGTGTGTATTTTTTATAAACAGTTTCAGTGGCGATTCAACCTTTTTAGGTTTGGGCCTCAAATTTCTGAATCTGTTTCATGATCATTTGTCTGTATTATATTGACATATAATATTAGCAGCAGTGTTAGCCTAGTGGCCAGGTCTAGTATAGCTTGCGACTCTTTTAACTGAGATTGTAAGTTCGAAACCCGGCTGTACCAATGGACTTTCTGTCGATGTGTGTTAATACTTGCACGTATGTAACATCACGAGGAAGCCGGCATGCCTTAGACTTAAAAAGTCGACGGTGTGTGTCAGGCACAGAAGGCTGATTACCTACTTGTCTATTAATAAAAATTATTACGTATCAGATACAGAAATCTGAGGCCCTTATAAACGTTGAAGCGCCATGTATTTTTTATATTAGTTTAGGTAAATAAATCATAAATCTTGTTCCGCCGAAGTCACTTCACTATTAAATGTTACAGACATAAAGAAGTCGTACGTGGATGTGTTCAATCCAGCGGGTGCTCCGCCGCCTGCCGCTTTGCCCCCTCCGGATCTGCCCCCTGCGCCACCTGCGGCAACCCCTCAGTACTTCGTGCCTGCCCCCCTACAGCAGGTAATTTTCATTCCTTTTTATTAACAATTTAATTTAGTTATAAAGTGTTTCTTTTAAACAAGTTGTTTACTATAAAAATAAATTACTTTGGTTTTTTGGGCAAAGAATTTTCAGTTGACTCTAGAAACATAGAAATATTTTAACTGTTGTGAAAATATCAGTTCATTTATATCTCTTAAACATTTTAAGACACAAAAGATTATGTAAAGTGAATTCAGAACGAATTTAATTACTGCAAAATAGTTTTTCTACAAAAATATTTCGATTTGAATGAAACATTTTTTAATTTTAGTAATGTAGTATACGTGGCATAAATTATCCAATAGATATGTGTAAAAGCCTTATTATTTATATTAATAAAAATGTCGCCGGTAGTAGGAGCGGGTAGTACAAGTGTCGATGCTTCCTTCCCCTGTCCCCTCCTTTACTGTCCCTCCTCTCCAGGTATGTCTGTTGCAATATATCTTCCTATATATTTTTAACATAGAATCCCTAGCTTAACGCATATAATGAGGTCCATTTCATTTACAAAATTATGGTTTAGGGTCGAAACAGTCGCAAAAATGGGTCTGCTCTAGCCAAATTGTCAATCAATTTTGAATAGGTTTAACAGAAGTCAATTTGACTCTAGCTAATATCTAGAACCGTGCAGATCTTATTTGAAGTCAGAATTCAAAGCTTGATCAGACTATTGAGATCAGGTTTGAAATCTCCAAGACAAGAGCGTACCAATTCTTAAAAGACCGGCAACACACTCGCGGGCCTTGGCAATGTGAGTAGGGCGGCGGTATCACTTAACATGAGGTGATCCCTGTTTGCCCCGTTATATAAAAAAAACATGTAAACGTCCCTACATAACAAAGTTATGTGAATTAATTGTAATATGTGATAATATTATTATTAGCTAATGTTTGTATGTTTCTTACACGCGTCCAGGATAAGAAGGTCCCAAATGGTCACTGATATGGTACTGATTATTGTTTTTAAAAGTATATTTTTTTATAATACTAGTAGTGCTATAAGCTTTAATAATATAACGTTATTAATAAGTTTGTATTGTTTTTTCAGAGTGGAATTTATGATCCAAACACAATGGAACCCGAGCGTAGCGCCATCTAGCAGTACTAGATATCTTCTGTTTTCATTTACAACTGTATTTCATTTATATCCCTTGCTCATTCAACTCCAAATTTTCATAGAATCAGTTGATATTTGTGAAATACAGTGTAAAGACCAGCGTTTGTAGATAAAACGATTCATTATTTATTTATTTTCAAATGTCAGACATTTTTTAGTTAGGTTCGTGACTTTCAAAACTGAACATTCCTGTATTCTATTGACCTATTTTAAAAGACATTTCTAATTTAGTCTTTCACAAGTAATTGGTATTGAAATATTACGGCTAGACTTTAATACAGGATAGAAATATGACAAGACTCCATTTTTAAATAAGATTCGCAATTTATCTTATTGTACTGGTTAGTGATGGTGCCGCGTGGGTGGATGGAAAAAACTTGTCAACTAAGCAGTTTAGTTGTGCCACAGTAACGATACACTGCGAACGTCACGAAATATTGCTCACAGTGGAATCTAACGAGATAAAATAAAGATTTTGTTCTTTCTAATTCTGCATTAGCTACGCACTACGGCTATCAAGATATTACTTATGAGGTGTGTGAACATCTCGCGAATTTTCCCCCTTTTCTCCATCAAAATCGTTGTATAGTATCCTTTCTTTCTGAATGCAGTAGTCCTCTGCAATCTTTACTTTTCTCGTTAGATATTTTAGGTTTAATTTGTAATCGTAGTTTGAACTTGTGATTTGTGGAACATCTAGTATTATAATCATTCGACATTTATTTTAAATCACATTTTGTCTTTCTTCAGTTTTGTATATGGTATTATTTTTGGGAATAAAATTGAAATTGGGCAATAATTATGTATTATAATAGTAAGTGGTGCAATAGGTTCTATCTTATTCCGTCGCTATTGTAATGAAATTATTCGGAATTTACGCTAATGCGAAATGTACAGTCTCCATTTGTAAAGAAGAGCCAACGTACTGGTGATTGGAAAGCGACTGTAATGTATAGAATGTTATATCTGTATATTATGATGCGTCAACTCGCTATGTATTCCGATTTGAGAAATGTATAATAATTCAATATCTAAATATTTAAATAAATTGTTTATGTTAATGCTTTGTAGTTTGTTTTATTTTATACTCAGTCATAATATTTTAAAATAGGCACTTAGTTAAATTGATTCATAAGCGTCTGTGTTGGTATCGTTAGCGGCTGCCGTGATGAACTGGAACACCGAAACGGTAAGAGCACCAGCCACTAGAGCCGCCATCACAACCGAACATGCCACCAGTCCCTTGTTTACTGCCATCATCATCACTACTCCATACACAATCCATATCTCTGATGCACAAGCATGTTTTTTATTTAAATTCAAACTGAGCTGTCTTTGAAGTTTATTTGTATCGTTTACTCTTTGGTTTAATCTGTCATTCTAAAAGACGTAAAAACCAAAGAGTTAGAAGTTTTTTCAATAGGTTCTATACTTACATCTCCAATAAAAACTTTCACGGAGAAGTAGATAAAGCGTACAAGTATTACGTATCGAACTTTTTTATATCCCCTCCCCCCATGTAGCGCGACGTAATATTTTCTGTACCCTACGTAGTAAAAGTCTGAAGGAAGAAACATCCAACCATTGAGTCACTACAGGTAAACCTAACTTTCTTTTTTCATATAAATGTTTATAAATATGTACTACATTAAAAAATAATTCAAGAGGATTAACATTGTATTTAACATGCATATCTTTTTGAAATATGTATATTATTTTAAATCATAACCCAATGAGTTTATAATATATATTTTATTATAATTTATTCACAATATATTATTCTGAATTAATTACAGAATCCAGCCAGTCCCTCATAGCTGCTAGATTGACATATAAGTTTGGTTCACAAGATAGTCCACAATGTTTGTTGTCACTCATGATTCCTAAAAGTATTTTGCCTCTCAATAATGGTGCTCCTGCACAATAGTTGCAAGCTCCATTCGACTCTCTAGGTGCAGCGGCGCACATTGGCCTACCAACGGCTTCACACTCAGATCTAGGCACTGCCTCTCCTCTGGATAGGTGTCGCAGAGACCACATATTATCTCCAGAGTCGCACTTTATTAATGGTACGATATTTATAAATACACTTCGGACTCCGCGTGAAATGGAAGTCTTGTCAATGCTCCTGAAAATATTAAATTTTTGTTAAGTCACAATTTGGTTAAGGGGTAAAATATTCAAAATACGAGTTTACCAATACCTAAATTTGCCAAAGCCCAGAATATTGAGACCTTCTCCTAAATTAATTAAAAGATAATCAAGAGCCTTTGGTAACTGAGCAACTTTAGGAATGTTAATTTTATCTTCAGATTTTATAGCTGTGAGATCATAACTTTTATTTGTGCCTTGATATAATGGGTGTATATTAATGTCTGATACAGAATGAACTGGCCCATGCTTAATTTCTCCAAAATTTTCCATTATAACAAATGAATCTAAGGAGTCAACCTCTTCAATGGATTCTATACAACTTGCTGCAGTTAAAGACCAAAACTTATTTACCACTGTTAGTATACAGCCAAATACCAAATTCAGTGGTGGTTTTATCTTCACTAAAGCAAGAACAAAATCTTTTCTGTTGGTGTCAATAATGCCATCACTGTCAGTTATCTCTTTCATAATTGGTTTTTGATCGGCATAATTCATATGTTCAAGTTGAACAGTTGGAGCCGTTTCTATATGTTTAGTAAAATAATGTGTTACAGCATCTGTAGTGTGTGATGGATTCCAAGTACAGTCCACATTTTTAGAATTTTTTTTGGAACTAGTACTGAATAAACTTTTAGTACTTAATTCAAATTCCTGGATTTCATTAGATGTACTAATCTCAGATGTAGAATACCTTGATATATCCTTTTTACTGCAAGCTATGAAATGTAAAGTAAGGAATATAAGGAAGGCTATAAATCCTACAAGAAGGGCAGCTTGTGCTAAGCTCAGATATACCTCTGTTCTCGTAAAAGCCTTGCACCAACCTCGGAACTGAGCACAGCAAGCATTACACATCTTTGCATTGTTTCTACATTATTTTATTTTGTACTGACATTCACATCCATCTTGAATTAGTGATACTCACTTGAATGATTGTCATTTACTGTCAAAAGCCCTTATGTCAATGGCTGCTTGGCCCGGGTTCATTTTTTGCAGCAACATAATATGGTTTTCGGAATGGTCTTTCAATACATCCAAATCGTAACTGTCCAGATTCTCTCCTGCCACCAAAACCTCCTCCAAGCCTACGAGGTTTCCACCCTTGTAGTCTCCGCTCTGCTTCTCTTTCGACAATGATTTCAGCTCCATCTATGTATTCATGATGCATTTCTTTAAGTGCTTTCTCCACACTGTGCCCACTTTCATATTCTAAAAATGCATATTTTTTTGATTTCCCTGTGACAATGTCTTTTACAAGGCGACACCTTTTCACTTTTCCAAACTTAGAGAATTCTGTTTCAATAGTATCCTTTAAAAAATAATCGAGAATGTTATTAAAATGCCCAGATATTGTAAATCATTGTAAACTAAATTTAAAAAAAAGATTTACCTGTGTAGTTCTAGGATTAAGTCGGGCTATAAATATTGTATACTCAGGGTCTCCCTTAACCATCTTGTTTGGTATATACTCAGATAGGATAGCCCGAATGATTGCACGATCGTGTGGTTCGGTATCTGTTCCTAAATGTAGATAAAAATAAGCCACATCATTAATTTATTTTAAGTAAAACGAGAAAAGGATCCGCGTTTATTTCATATATTAAAAATACTTACGGTCAATTGATCCCACTTCAATGGGATTGTAAATACCAATGGCATATTTTTCGAAGTGAGAAGTATTTCTCGACATGGTAAATGAAATTTGAAAATGGTAAATATATTATTCTAATGAAAATAATAATCACACAATTTTAGAGATTAAATATTATTTTAAAAGTTAGAAAGTAGAAACTAGAATCACATTACAATACAAATAAAATTAATAACGCAAATGATTAATGAATTCTAACTGTCAAATGTCTTATGTCACTGGAAAATAAGTTAAACTAGCCATAGCTAGGTGAGGGGTACCGGGTTCGATTCCCGGTTCGAGGGCAAGTTTTAATTTAATTTAAATTTGTTCTCGGCCTTTGGGAGGGTTGTGCGGTACCGGGCGAGTGCCGTACATGGAGGACACGGTCGAAGTTCTTAGGCAAGCACGAATTATAAAAAATCTTATACTTGACGCTGGCACAAACCGTGCCAGAGCCATAAAAAAAAAACTAGCCATACCGTAGTGATGTACATTGTATGATCCAATAGATCGAACAACCCTTACATTGTTGTTAGACATACTGTACGTTTTCCAATTACAGCACTAGAGCGCATTTTGCGGCATAATGCTCAACGTTGAGTGTTCCAACTACAGCAACGCTTCGCACAATTGAGCACTCTCAAAACGAATGCTCTCGCAAACAATACCAACACAGTGACAGAAAATTGACCAGTATTTTTCTTTAAGTTGGCATTTATCGAAATTTTCGTTAGTAAATATTATTTATTGTTGAAAAATTTGTAAGGCTTTCGTTTCATCGTAGATTTTGAAAATAATTAAAGTTATTTCAAACTGCTAAAAAAAAAAAATTAGTATGGATGAAGGTATAAATAGTTACTTTTTTATATTCCACATTTAAAATATGAATACAATTTTATTTTAAAAATCGGATCTGTAAACAAATTTACTTTACAGGATTATACTTTAGAAAAAATTGCAATGGTTTTGAAAAAGTATATATTTTTTTTAGAAATCATTAAAAAATATTACTCAAAACATAAATGATGTAAACTTCTTACATTAAACTAAATATTTTACTGTTAATTTAGCTTGTTAAAACCTTATATTCTTTAAAGGTTTTCTCTTATTTCAGTAAAAAAATGTTAATGAAATAATTTGATTATTAAATTAAGCGTAAAAAGTTTTCAACCAATTATTATTGTTTACCACATTATTTATACATTAATGAGGTTGCTAAACTATTAATCAATAACTCAATTCATACAAATTCAACATTTTTTTTACAACACTGACTTAGCGCACTCTGCTGATGCATTTGAAAACTAATTCACGTTCCAATTAAGCTTCAGCATTATGCGGCATTGTGCGGCACTGAGTCGCAAAATGCTCTGTAATTGGAAAACGCACACTATATTGTATGTTAGGAGTGTAATCGTTTGGCGGTTTTCACCCCAAATTTACGGGGAATAAAGATGTATTTTTGATACATATACATATGGGTTAAAAACCCTAAAAATCGATATTTAGTGGTATTTGAATTTGGTCCTAGGGGACAGATTCTGTAGGAGTTGGCATCACTGGTGTTATAGTTGTTTCTAGCTTAAAAACATTTAATATTTTTTATTTATAAATAAAAAAATGTCATTTTATAACTAATGTCATTATAATAACTTCAACAACCACCTTCGACAACCTTCGGTGGTGGTTGTTGAAGAAATGTTCAAATAAATGAAACACTGGTTGAAACACAGTGTCAACCGTATTTAATTATTTAAAACAAGGCGGCGTCAATCATCAGGCGGTACGATGTTCGCCAGGTCAGCCATTACATTAATATAATATAAGTATATGTTTTTACTAAGCGGTCACTGAAAGTACGATCAGGAGTTTTAATTGGTTTATATGTTGACTATGAAAGTATGAACGAAACATTTGAACTATCAGGAATATGCCATACCTGATAATCCTACGTCAAAGCTATGGTACTTTTATCTCTCAGGACCTGTATACATTATTAAATATTCGACCACGTGAGTAAAATAACTTTTGAAGTTATACTTCTTTAGGCGCGTTATGAAAAATTGATGAGAGTAAAATTTTAAGATGCGCGCGCACCGTGACACAAAATTAACAGAATGAAGTTGCCCACGGAAGATGCTACGGCATTGGACATAATTTAAAAGTGACATTCGAATAATAATAGGATTTATGTTACACTTAATGTAAGAGAATAATAATAAATATTTATTTATTTAATTTTTCAAATGTAAACTGAACTTTATTGACTATAATGACTCCTTTTCCAGTCTTTGATTATTTAATTGTAATTAATTATTTGCATGCAATCAAACACTATTTTTAATAATGCCAAAGAAGTAAAACTTCTTACGCGCGTACACAAGTACACGCACCCTTTTTTTATGTTTATCTTCTTTTCATTCTATTGAAATACAATTAGTAATGCATACAAAAGTGTTGTTTAAAGCAACGCATCAATCTGTGCCTAAGCAAGCAGGTATGCCAACTTAGCGACGTTTAATTTTTTTGACATATCTGAAATGGCAACAAACAACGTTTAATCAGCGCGAGTGTGCGCGGAGAAAATTGAGCAAAAAATAAAAAGAAATGGCAGTTACTAGAGAGAAAGAAAATTGTACAAGAAAAATTAATGGAAATATACCTGCATTGTCCCTTAACAGTGATAACATGTCGACGTCCACAGATAGTGACGATATAGCCGACCCAACGTATGAAATTAGGAACATACAAAGTATTATAAACGTGACCCGTGAAAACATCGATGCTCTTAACGCGAAATTCGCTGGATTACAGCATCCACCGTCTTTATACCTTACAGAATATCAAGAACTAACGGCGAAGTTGCATAATTTAGAGCTTAGGGAACGAACTTTAAGGGAGTTGTTGCAATCTGAGTCGCCGGACAGAAGTGAGGAGTATTCGTGGCAGGATGAAAACAAGAAGTTCGATACGCTTACAAGGCAGCCGAAGGTGTTTCTGCGAGCGCACCTTCCAAACCAGCAGCGCACCAGCGTGCAAGTGAAAGAGGGTGTAAGCTTACGTGAAGCGCTATCGAAGGCGCTCAAACTCAGGAACTTGACGTGTGAAATTTGTGAAGTGGTGAGGACAGGGAACGATGAAGTGATACCGTGGGATATTGATATAACTATGATAGATGCCGAAGAGGTCAGTTGAAAACAAATATTTGTTTTGTGATTGTCACACAGGTTTTAACAGCTGTTTGCCTTGTTGTGAAAATATTTCAATTTAGATAGATTAATTGAATACTAAAACTATTAATTTAATATATAATTACCAATGGAAATTACAATACCTCAAATATTTTTAATGTGTGTATGACTAGCATTAAAAAAAGAAAATGCTCTAATATCATTTTAATTTCAATGTTGCTAATTGAAGTTAAAATGGTATTATAAACTATTTGTTACAACCTCTCTGTGAGTTGCAGGTGACAGTGAGGACACTAGACAAGCTGCCCATAATGTCCCACATGTCCCACCAATACACCCGCAAGACTTTTTTTACCCTTGCATTCTGTGAGTGTTGCCGCAGACTGCTCTTTAATGGCTTCTACTGCTCACAGTGCAACTTTAAGTTCCATCAGCGATGTGCTGACAAAGTGCCTAGTATCTGTCATCAGGTATTTTATTTTAATATATTTATACTATAACAGTTTTGGAAGTATTCATTCTGATTGTAAAATAATGCATAAAAATGTTATATTAAATAGCATAGTATTAGTCTGATAAGTAGTAGTTATTTCTGAGAATTTGATTGAAATGTATCCAATGTTGCAGGTTCGCATGCCTGATACCTATTATGCTGCTCTCCTTGCTAAGAATCCGGAAACACAGGCTGGAATACTGTATCTTCCCTCTCAATTTAGCTATAATCAAAATAAGTAAGTTTCATTCTCAAGTATCATGTTAGTTATAGATATGTGTTTACTTCTTGTATAGTTCAATTTACCTCTTTATTGTTATAAAGTGAAAATAGAAATGTGATGGTGTGCAGGTCTGCTTCCCCAGCCAAGAAGAACAGGGAGTTTGATATGAACTGGTGAATATTCACACAAGATCATGTCCACGTTTGTTATGGCTTATTGTAGTTACATTGTTCCACTTAATATTATGATTAGCCTCAGGTGGTTTCAAATCCTAATAATCTAAGCCAAAACTTACATATGACTGCATGAATTTTAATTTGCCTTTAATATAGATCATAACAAAGGAGAACAGACTGAACAACTACACCAAAAAATAGCTAATGACTTGTTACAAGAAACTTACTGAAAAGATCTATGTAATAAAGCGTTTGGAAGTTCAATGTTATTTAGTCATTCTATAATTTTTATTCATAAGAGAAAGTAAATCACTATCTCAAGGAGGATATAATAGTGATTTGATAGATTTTTTTTTTTAAATATATGTTTTAATATGCAAACATCAATTTTGCTTAAATCCATGATATATGTTTATGTACATTATAGTTTAAACTTAATTTTAGCAATAGTCTCTTGCAATAGTTGGTATACTATAGTTGTTTATTAAACTGGTAAAAGTGTATTTAGATAAATCAATGTAGTTAACATTCTTGCATATTATAAAGTGTTTACTTTTAAGGAGCCCTATTTTCAAATATTTTAACTTATTTGACTTTTCCCAGACCTAAAATAAAAATAAAAAATACAGGCTTACTTATTTTGTGTTAATTTGTGCGTATTTACAAAAGAGTGGTATATGCATTTCAGGCAGCAGCACCCTCGTTCACTAAACCAACAAGACCGTTCCAACTCGGCACCCAATGTCTGCATCAATATGGTGCAGCGCCCTCTCACACTAGCAGAGCATCAAAGAAAACATAATCAGGTATTATAACACTTTAATTATTTTGTTAACAATGAGACAGTTATGTAATAAGGAACTGGTCAAGTGTTTTAGATCATTAAATAAGTAAAAAAAATTATGACGAGACAGCGCTAAATATAACAACGAATGTCAAAAGCGTAATGGATTGACATCTCGTATGACAGCTTGTTCTTGACATTTTGATGATGATTTTCTTGTAGATAAGTACAATGTCGACTTACTGACCGCCGTGACTTAAACCTTTAGGTTTCCTCAATGTTTTCCTTCACCTTAAGAGCAAGCATTAGGAAATCTAACCTCATGTAGCCATAAAAAAATTACTATGCCTAATATGCAAACTTGTGTATTTCAGAGCAACAACTCTCCACAATCATCAAATTATCTAACATCAGGAAGACACTATAAAGACGACAAGGAAAGAGGAGACCACCAACACAGTCAAAGTACACAGGTACTTATAATATGATTTACATCTGAGTTTGCATTTATTTGCCTTTGGATTTAATACTATGTGAAATATTACGCCCTAGTCGCCTAGTGCTTATCAGAGGGAGCTTTTAACAATCTTCTAGAACTAGTAAACACACATTTTTAAGAAGTTTAATATTATCCCACATAATGTCTAAATTGTGTGTCGAACCTCTATAAGCATACAAGTCTAGGTTTAAATAGCTTACTTTAAATTACATAAATTAGTATCATTTATTAAATCGGTATATAGAAAAAAATTAGGCTTAAGTCGGCTTCTATCAGAGCTTATAATATTAGAGTATTAATATTTTGTAGGCATCTCCAACCGGTACGCTCCGTCCACGACGCGCGCGCGCACGTTCCGCGGATGAATCGTGGAAACATGCACTGGCACCGCGAGAAAGTTATGACGACTGGGTTATACACGCCGATGAGATACTTATCGGCGCACGGATAGGTATATACTTGCTATTGTAGGTAAACTTTGTACGATAATATTTTTTTTAATATGGAATATAATATTTATAACAAAGCAAAACGGGATAATGAGGTTATGTATATTATACAAAAATGTTATTTCTCAATCACACCTAAACGACTTAAATAACCTGTTATTTTTGAGGAACAATTATTTTTAATGGAACACGAACAAAATATTTTTTGATACTTGTGCGCGCGACAAAAGTCACCAGCAAATAATTATAAGTAATATGCTAACAACAACTTATGCATACATTTTCCTCAAATACTTTATCTATTATATATATTAGGTCCTTACATATGAAATTAGCGTATTTCGTACTGGCCACTTCAATCACGATGTTCTCCTCTTTGGTAAGGAATTCCAAATTCAAATTTGTACAGCTATTTACTCATGTATTTGTGCTTCGATGACCGTCATTCATTTGTTTTTTTCTGTTTGCGTCACTCATTTTACAAAATGGAAAACTTAAAGTATCGCATTATTTACGAGTACGAGTTCCGCCGTGGCACTAGTGCTGCGGAAACAACTCGAAGGGTGAATGATGTGTATGGCGGTCATGTTGCAAAAGAAAACACAGTTCGTTTTTGGTTCCAACGTTTTCGTTCTGGAAATTTCGACCTGCAGAACAAGCCCCGTGGACGGCCTGAGACCCAAGTTGATAATGAAGTATTGAAGGCTATTGTGGAAGCGGATCCATCGCAAACCACGTCCGAGTTAGCTGCAGGCTGCGGTGTTAGTGATAAAATTGTTTTAATTCACTTGAAGCAAATTGGGAAGATTAAAAAGCTTGAAAGATGGGTACCTCACGAATTGACTGAAGCAAACCGGCAAACGCGCATCTACTGCTGCGTTACATTACTGAACCGGCACAATAATGAAGGTATTTTAAACCGAATCATTACCTGTGAAGAAAAATGGATTCTTTACGATAATCGGAAGCGCTCAGCGCAATGGTTGGATCCTGCCCCAAGCGAAAATTAACCCCAAAAAAAGTTACTTGTAAGCGTTTGGTTTGGTGGACTATTGTTCGTATTGTTCATTATAGATATATTAGATATTGGAGTATTGTTCATTGCAGTTTTCTGAAATCTGGCCAGACTATTACGGCTGATGTCTATTGTCAGCAATTGCAAACCATGATGGAAAAGCTAGCGGTTAAATAACCTAGGCTGGTCAATCGCTCCACGCCACTGCTACTTCACGACAGCGCTAGACCACACACTACACAACAGACGGCTACCAAATTAGAAGAGCTTCAATTGGAATGTCTAAGACATCCTCCGTACTCCCCGGACCTTGCACCAACAGATTACCATTTTTTTCGAAATTTGGGCAACTTCTTGCAAGGGAAAAAATTCAACTCTGATGGGGCAGTCCAAATCGCCTTCACAGATTTTATTGATTCACGTCCGACTGTTTTTTTTAGTAAAGGGATCAATGAACTACCTATTAGATGGCAAAAGGGCATAGAAAACAATGGCCCTGACCTAAATCCAATTGAACACATTTGGGACTTGCTTGACAGGCGCATCCGGAAGCGTCCGATTGCACCTCAAACACTGCAGCAGCTCACTGAAGCGTTGATTGAAGAATGGGAGCGAATTCCACAAGAAGATATTCGGAGGATCATACGAAGCATGCCGCGTCGTTGTCAAGCCGTGATTAGGGCTCATGGAGGCCACACACGTTACTGAAAGTCACTAAAGACGAATATTCAAACGATATAAGAATATTTCTTTGATGGACCTTTTTTATCACCAAAGTTTTTCGTCTACAATGCACATTTTAATTTTTTTTCAATAAAAAAAATACAAATTGATTTTTTTTATTAATTGTTGTAATTAACAAGGTAAAAAATAGCGTACAAGTTAATTTAAATCTAATTTTAGTTTAAGCTATTTCTATTGAAAGGAGAAAAATTTTGTTCCGCTAATTGTTTTGAGCAGTATATTTAAAAATATTCGACATTTTGTTCCTCCCATACAAAACGCCAATTTCATATGTAAGGACCTAATATATCCTTAAATTTTACTAAATTTTTATAAAAGTAATTATTGTACAGGTTCTGGGAGCTTTGGGACTGTATACAAAGCTCATTGGCACGGTCCTGTTGCTGTAAAAACGCTTAATGTCAAAACACCAACACCTGCTCAGCTGCAAGCATTTAAAAACGAAGTGAGTTATTCTATCATCATATATAAAGATGATGTCCTATTAAGATTGAACCCCATTAAACCATGTTCTGCCTCATGCATCTTTTGACATATCTTTACGTTAGTTTTACAAAACCAATCTTTGTTTTATATTGAGGTGCAGTTGAAAAGCATTTTTTTGAAAAATTGTTTTTGTTAACTTCTATCAAGTGTGTGTCTAAGTGACGAGGGGATTTTTAAGCCTTTTCATATCTATACCTAAATTTAGGAATTGTCGCTTAGGGTTATATTCAGAAATCACACAAAGTCTAACTCCTGTACGTCAAAAATGTATTGGATTTTGACATCCAGAGGTTTGGTTCGTGCTAAAGCCGCATTTATATTTATCTGACGTGTTGTGTTGTGATGCTCTCTGTCGTGATGGCTACTGTTCACATTGATATGACGTGTTATGATGCATTATGACGGTTTTTTGTATCAGTTCCGTCTTGACTCCCAGAGAGTTCACACATTTGCAATGTTTTTTCAAGAATCATCCGATTCAGATTCAGATTTTGAAGAAGAGTTGGAATTATACATTACTATTATTATTATTCTTTACATTTTGGATTATAAATCACTTTAAATTGTCTTACGTATTCAATTAGTTGCTCTTCGTCCATTTCTGACGCGTAATAACACAACACTGGCGCGTGCACACTAGTCTGATGCGGTATGACGTCTCACGGCACCGCCCCCCGCACCTCACCCTTTCTGACGCGGACCGGGATCGCCTGTGACACGACACATCAGAAGCCGTCATAACACACCGCATTGAATAAATGTGAACGCTTCCATATTAAATGTATGAAACTGATACCGTTCTGATGCATCACAACACAACACGTCAGATAAATGTAAATGCGGCTTAAGTCTATACCTCTGGATGTCAAAATCTCGAAACGATAAACGATAAGTTACTGAATGTCACCATTTCTTTCAGTTAATTACCTTTGAATATATAATAAAACTAATAAATTTTAGTTTTAGTCCTTCGAGTCGGATATAATACAGTGTGTGTATAGGTGGCGGTTCTAAGGAAAACACGGCACTGCAATATCCTACTATTCATGGGGTGCGTTTCAAAGCCATCACTAGCTATCGTAACGCAGTGGTGCGAGGGCTCGTCCTTATACCAACATTTGCACGTGCTGGAAACGCCTTTGCCGATGCTTTATCTCATCGACGTAGCTCGGCAGACAGCCCAGGGAATGGACTATCTACACGCGAAAAATATTATACATAGGTAATTATCTTTACTGAAATTCGTGAATATTGTATACCTTAATGTTACGATGTCATAACAGTATAATAAAAAGAAGATATTTATATATTGATCACCATCATTTAAATACTAATGATTAGACTGTAGTAAATAACATCTCCGTTGTGATAGGTGACACTACCTTTACCTACCAGTACCATAACATAATTTTAAATTCAACTTACATAATTGTCCAAAATATTAATTGTTATGCTTACCGAGATTTTCGTATACTCTGATTATTAAAATTATAATAATTACTATTTACATTAAAAATTTTGAGTCATATTTGGAACTCTGTGGCCTATTTTGGTTATAGTACGACTGCGTAATTAGTAATGATAAACATAATGAAAGTCTGAGCTGAAAGAACCGTCATGATATTTGAGGTCGGCAGTTCCAAATTAAATTTTTTGTTAATTATTCCCTTAATATTACAAAGAAAACTGTTTTTTTGTAATATTAAATCACTAGATTTTTGGCTCCAAAAGCACACATGGTTTTTTATGAGCTATTGGGCTTGCATTATGCTAAATTTTTTTGGTAATGGCTCATGTAGCTTATTAACATATTGTTACGAGCTAGGGGATCGGATAGAAACGCCGTAGATCTCTTCAAGGGTTTATTTCAATTAAATCTACGAGGAATTTGTTAACACTAAAAACTGGAAATTATGCACAAAAATTCACTAAATACACACACAAAATACTGTCACTTATTACTCTAATTACACGCACTTCACACAGTACTTGTATTCACTTGTCTTCACTATATTCGCACTTTGTCACTCCGGTGTTTATCGCTTGGTATCGCATTCAAAACTGAACTAATCGGTCGCGTTTCGGCTCGCTTATATATCCCTGGGAGCGATGTTCGAGAACTCTCTAGGCGGCGGCGCAACTGAGTAGCGATCGCACAATTCTAGAACGTGCGTACTAGCTATCCCTTTCGCACATTGCTCCGTCCTTATCGTACGGCGTTCTAGAGTGCTCGGTCTAGCTTCGAGAAGGTTCCGATCTTCCCTCTCTCTCGCGTATCATTCCGTCCTTGTCCCACACCTAGAAAATTCGTTCTAGAACATTCCTTCATCAAAGGGGTATAACCAGGCCTGAAAACGCCTGAAAACGGGTTTCCTGAAAAGTGTACCATTCGACTACACGTGTTCTGAAACGGCCTGAAAAAAATGTTTCAGGCTCCTGAAAACTAGGGTGACCTTATGTAAATTACGATTTTCTGATATGTGATTGACCCTCTCCTGAAACGGTCAGAAATCACATTTCAGCCTGCTGAAAACTTCTCTAACTAGTGGAAAAATCTAAAAACATTGCAGTCGACCCGTCTTCGTAACACTACCCCCTCCTTAGACATGCTCGTCCCGAGCATCATTACTTCCTTTATAGGGAGCCAATCGATTTATGTGAACGACTTTCGGTTTGCTCCTTAAACCACTCATTTTCTTTATCCGGTAAGTAACGTCATTAATCTTCGTGACTATCGTGTATGGACCGTCCCAGTCAGCTTGAAGCTTTGGTGATTTGCCTTTGCGTTTTGTTGGGTTATGGAGCCATACTTGCGAGCCTTCTTTAAATTCTATGTGATTCGTCTTCCTGTCATACCTAATCTTCGTAGTCTCACTTATTTTGCTTTGTGATGCTCGTACGTGTTCATGAATTTCATACAGTCTATTACGCAGATCCGCAGCATATTCTGTAACACTCTCCGGAGTGTCAGGTGGTCGTCCCGTTACAATGTCTGCTGGTAATCTAAGTTGTCTCCCAAACATGGCTAAAGCAGGTGTTACATTCGTGGTTTCATGAACCGCAGACCGGTATGACATTAAAAATAATGGAATATACTTGTCCCAGTCTTTTTGATGGCTGTCCACCAGTTTTGCTAAGTGCCTTTCCAAGGTTTGATTAAAGCGTTCCACCATTCCATCTGACTGTGGGTGATATGGAGTAGTCCGCGTCTTATGAATTCCCATTAGTCGGCATACTTCTTGAAACAATAAAGACTCAAAATTTCTTCCCTGATCACTGTGAATCTCCAAGGGTACTCGAATCTAGAGAATACGTCATTTACAAGTATCTCAGCTACTGTAACTGCCTCTTGATTGGGAATAGCGAACACTTCGGGCCACTTCGTAAAGTAATCCATAACAACCATGATGTACTTATTTCCTTTTTCTGTTATCGGAAATGGTCCAGCTATGTCAACGGCTATCCTCTCCCATGGAGCTCCGACATTGTATTGCTTCATACCAGCTCTAGTTCTCGTCTGTGGGCCTTTGACTGCTGCACAAGCCTTACATTTCCGAATCCAGTCTTCCACATCTTCACGGCAATGTATCCAATAAAATCTCTCTTTAATTTTCAGAAGAGTCCTTTTTACTCCTAAGTGTCCGCCCGATGAGCCATCATGAAACATTTCCAAGATGTTGCGAACCTTGGATCTTGGCACAACTAACTGTAGATGAGATGCATCCCCTCGAGTGTTTTCCCATTTGCGACATAACACTCCATTATGAAGAACTAAGCTATCCCATTGAGCCCAGTAACTCTTGGTCGTGGTGCTAGTAGATGCAACATCATTCCACCGCGGCTTGATAGCTGAAGATTTCATCCAGTCCAGAATTGGTTTAATGTCAGAATCTTGTTGTTGCTCTTCCTGAATTAATTTCCCACACCAATCTGGACTAATGGTGTCTGTCCTTAGTATCCTTACATGGGCTACCTCTCTACCTTCGTGTCTTGTACAATGTTTGCAATCCTCCTCACATGGCCTTCGAGACAATGCATCTGCGTTCCCGTGGGCTCTGCCTTTGCGATGTTCAGTAGCAAAGTCATACTCTTGCAGTTGTTCGATCCATCGAGCCACTTGTCCTTCCGGATTCTTGAACTGAAGTAGCCATTTTAATGCAGCATGATCTGTCCTAAGACGGAACTTGCGACCTAGCAAGTATTTACTGAAGTGCTGCAGCGTCTTCACAACAGCCAGTAGTTCCCTCCGAGTGACACAGTAGTTCCGTTCTGGTTTCGACAACGACTTGCTGAAGTAGGCTATTACTTGCTCGTGCTCACCTTTTACTTGTGATAGTACACCTCCAATGCCAATTCCACTGGCATCTGTATCTACCACATATTCACCATCTTGATCCGGGTAGCCTAGTATTGGAGTCTCACACAGTCGGTTCTTGAGCTCATTAAACGCATCTTCACACTCTCCATCCCATGTGAATTTCCTCTTCTGTTCGGTGAGTCTGTGAAGTGGTTTTGCAATATCCGCGAAATTTCTCACAAATCTTCGGTAGTAAGAACATAAGCCTAAGAAAGCGCGGACTTCAGTTTTATCTTTAGGCACTGGCCAATCCTTCACCGCAACTATCTTCTCAGGGTCTGTTCGAACTCCATCCTCTGATATAATGTGCCCCAAGTAGCTCACTGCTCTCTTGAAAAATAAACATTTCTTCGCACTTAGTTTCAGGTTGGCTTTATGCAGTCTGGAGAGCACCCGTTGCAGATTTCGTATGTGATCATCAAAATCCTTCCCAATGATGACTACATCATCCAAGTACACTAAGCAGGCTTCTCCTATCAGTCCTGACAGTACTTTTTCCATTAGTCTTTCAAAGGTGGCAGGTGCATTGCAAAGCCCAAACGGCATAACTTTAAACTGCCATAGTCCTTTACCAGTTGAGAACGCTGTTTTCTCTTTATGACTTGGGTCTATTTCCACTTGCCAGTACCCACTTTTCAAGTCTAAAGTTGTAAACCATTTTGCCCCACTTAAGGTATCCAAGGTGTCATCTATTCTAGGTAACGGATAACTGTCCTTCTTCGTGATATCGTTAAGACGACGGTAGTCGACGCAGAACCTTAAACTGTTATCCTTTTTCTTGACTAAAACTACTGGAGAGCACCAAGGGCTGGAAGATGCTTCAATAACATTATGGTTTGACATTTCTGCAATCATCTTATCTATATTCTTTTCATATGCGACAGGTACTCGTCGCGGTCTTAAACGTATAGGTGCTTCGGTTCCAGTCTCAATTCGATGTTTAACTACACCTGTCCTTCCTAGATCTCCATCGTGTGTAGCAAACATGTCAGAAAATGTTTTTAATAGTCCCTTTGCTTTCGACATTTCTTCCCTCGTCAAGGTTTCCTTACAGTCCTCCAGTATCGCTTGAACTATATCTCGTTGTTTACTAACTGTACCATCTTCAATGATAGCTCTATACACGTCGTACCCGTTCTTCAATGTGTTATCTTTTAGGGAAACTACTTCATCTCTACAATTGAATGTGCCGTTCTTCAGGTCAATCTTACAGTTGTAATGCTTCATGAAGTCTAAACCGATAATACAGTCATCCACGATGTCAGCAATAACCACCTCATGTCTGTATGTTCTTCCACCAATCTTGAAGGTAGCGATACCTTCTCCTCGAACGGTTATGTGCTGACCAGTAGCTGTAAGGAGCTGTACATTTCCACCAGAAAGGCTCTTGTAAAATGACTTCAGAAGTTGGTATCTGATTACTGTCCGGGAAGCTCCAGTATCAAGGGTTAACTCACACCTAGTGCCGTTAACTTCTCCGTCGATGACAATGGTATTCCCATCCTGAGTTTGAGAGATCATAACTTTTGGGGCCTTCCTTACAGAACCGGCCAGCACCCGCCCCGTGGTCCTGGCTTCTATTCGTTTCCCTGCCGCTTGTTCAGCGGCAGTCACATCCACGTCATCGGGCTCCCCACGTCTTGTCTTCATTTCGCCTCGGGGATCTCTCTTAGGGCACGAAAACCTCATATGCCCTACTTCCCCGCAGAGGTAACAGGTGGGTCCACGTTGGGAACTACGTTTTTCCGAGACAGCCCTAATGCGGTTAGGTCGAGAATCCTTGCAAAATGCTTCCACTTCCAACGCATGAGCAAGAGCATTCTTGAGGTCCTTATGGTGACCTAGGTTCACAGCCATTCGAATTTCACGGTCTCGAATACCGTCGACGAAGGCTTGAACCAACATCTTGTCTGCAACGTCTGGTGAGGATGCATAGGCTTTCCTAACCAGCTTCTCTATTTCACATCCCCATTTTTGCAAACTTTCATTTGTCTGCTGTATTCTATCCTTTAATTGAGCCCTATAGACGTGCTCTAAATGTGCGTCTCCGTACCGTGATTCCAAGGCATCCAGCAGTTGCTTCAACGTCACTTTACCTGTCTTGGTATCTAATATGGTGAGGGCTTCATCTCGTAGTCCCATAATAAGGGCGGTGACAGCCTGATCGTCATTCCACCCGTTTGACTCTGCCACAGTCTCAAACTGTATTTTGTACGCGCCCCAGGAAGATGTACCGTCAAAGGGAGGTACTTTCAGATTTCCAGATGGTGCTACAGTCGTTACGACACCTTTGGTCTTCAGGCACTGCATCTCTTGTTCTAATCCGAGAATACGTTTGTCCTGTTTCGAAAATTTGCAGTCCATATCAGATTCCAAGTTCTCGATCTTTTTCTCTACCTGTATTTTCAGGTCACCAAGTTTTTCTCCGATACGGCGGGCCTGTTCCTCCATCATCTGATGAGCCTGCTCCTCTTGACGCCGTGCCTGTTCCTCCATCATACGACGTGTCTGAGCCTGTTCTTCCATCATTAGGCGTGCCTGTTCTTCTTGACGGCGTGCCTGTTCTTCTTGCCGGCGTGCCTGTTCCTCCATCATTTGTCGTGCCTGTTCCTCTTGACGTCGTGCCTGTTCCTCTTGACGTCGTGCCTGTTCTTCCATCATTTGGCGCAGAGCAAGAAGCATGTTGGCATCGTTGCTTTCACCCATCCCGCGGTTTGCATCGAAACTTTGTCGTCGGGCAGCGTCGCGTGCTGATTGCGCCCTTGTCTGGACTCCCTCCGCAGCTGGAGACTCAGCTACAAACTCCTCTTGATTCTCCCTTGGAGTAATTGGCATTTTTCTATCCCACTTCTGACACCAAAATGTTACGAGCTAGGGGATCGGATAGAAACGCCGTAGATCTCTTCAAGGGTTTATTTCAATTAAATCTACGAGGAATTTGTTAACACTAAAAACTGGAAATTATGCACAAAAATTCACTAAATACACACACAAAATACTGTCACTTATTACTCTAATTACACGCACTTCACACAGTACTTGTATTCACTTGTTTTCACTATATTCGCACTTTGTCACTCCGGTGTTTATCGCTTGGTATCGCATTCAAAACTGAACTAATCGGTCGCGTTTCGGCTCGCTTATATATCCCTGGGAGCGATGTTCGAGAACTCTCTAGGCGGCGGCGCAACTGAGTAGCGATCGCACAATTCTAGAACGTGCGTACTAGCTATCCCTTTCGCACATTGCTCCGTCCTTATCGTACGGCGTTCTAGAGTGCTCGGTCTAGCTTCGAGAAGGTTCCGATCTTCCCTCTCTCGCGTATCATTCCGTCCTTGTCCCACACCTAGAAAATTCGTTCTAGAACATTCCTTCATCAAAGGGGTATAACCAGGCCTGAAAACGCCTGAAAACGGGTTTCCTGAAAAGTGTACCATTCGACTACACGTGTTCTGAAACGGCCTGAAAAAATGTTTCAGGCTCCTGAAAACTAGGGTGACATTATGTAAATTACGATTTTCTGATATGTGATTGACCCTCTCCTGAAACGGTCAGAAATCACATTTCAGCCTGCTGAAAACTTCTCTAACTAGTGGAAAAATCTAAAAACATTGCAGTCGACCCGTCTTCGTAACATATCTAAAGATTAATCGCTTGAACGAATGGCTGACATTATGTTAAACACACTTTCATACCTTTATAGTTCAGACAATAATCTTGATACTTAATATGAAAAAATATTATAAGTACAATTATAATTTTTAACACTAAATATTTACGGTTTAACACGGTTAGTTCGTATAACCGTCATGTTGGTTCTATTTCCGCACAGTTTCTAACACATTTTAAGTAACATTTCATAGGGACCTCAAGTCAAACAACATATTCTTGCGCGACGACTGGTCTGTTAAGATCGGGGACTTTGGTCTGGCAACGGCCAAAGTTCGATGGTCTGAATGGGGGGCGGCGGGTGGCGTTCAATGGCAACAACCCACGGGCTCCATACTTTGGATGGCTCCAGAGGTCATTCGCATGGAGGAGCCGGCGCCTTACACTTTCCGGTCTGATGTCTACTCCTATGGCATCGTGTTGTTCGAGCTGATGGCTACTGAGCTACCCTACTCGAATCTCAATAACAAAGATCAGGTGAGATATTCCAAATGGAAGAGAAATAAAAATGGAAGTAGAGTTAGCCCGAATGGCTCCCGTATTTTTCACACACGGGGCTCGGCTTTAAGTCTTTGTCCAAGAGTCATGTATATAGGGGAAAGATCTTTTTGTTTTACTTGTTTGATTCGATTTCTTGGCAAGTATTGGCGTTTTTGCGTAATTATGCAATATTTTATTGTTCTTGGTAACACCTTTTTTCTTACTATGAACTGTATAAGCGTTTTTAAAAACGCATATTTTGTGGATTTTTGTTTTTTAAATCAGCCCAAAATTACTATAATATGACTTAATAAGAACCTAAAAGGTAAGATTTTATTTATTCCATATTTTAATGCATAATAATATTCCCAATTCGGTTGACCTGATGATCTTGATGTTTAGCCTAGCCTTTCTCAATAAAGGCTCAGCATAAAAAGATTTCAAAACGAATCCGTAGATAGTTATTAGGAATTATTTTTTCACCGATGATCTTAGTGACGCTTATATTAGTGACATTAGTATAAAAAAGGCGAAACATCTACTTCACTACCCTGTTAATTTCAGATCCTGTGGATGGTTGGCCGTGGCCTCCTAAAGCCGGACAGCCGTAAACTTCGAGGTGACGCACCCCAAGCCCTCAAACGTCTCTTCGAAGACTGCATCAAGTTCGACCGGCAGCAAAGGCCTCAGTTCCGTCAAATTTTGGCAGGACTAGAGTCGATGCTTCGAGCCATGCCTAAAATCACTCGAAGCGCCTCGGAACCCAGCCTTAGTCGGCAATTGCACGCCTCCGACGACTACCTCACATACACCTGTGCTTCGCCGAAGACCCCTGTCAACTTCCACTTTAATACAGATACCAATTTCCCGGCCTTCTATGGGTAGGTATTTTTTCTGTATTTTAACTACCAGGAGTTGTTAGATACACAAATGTATTTTTAACTTTTTTTATATTCCAAATGCGCAAACCTACTCACAAAATCTTGTCAACGCTCTGATACAAATTATTTGTACTAAATCGGTCTTAAGTCACATCGGTCATAACACAATTTAATAAAAAAATATACACCAGTAATATTTCAGATTTATTTTCGGGGGTAAATTCTCAGTTCAAAACTTAGGAAAGTTTTAAATTAATATTGATTTTTTATTCATAATGGTACTAAGTAGAGCAATTGTCAGTTCACTCAATGGACAATAAAAAAGATCTGTTAACTAACGAAATATATCCAAAAATATGTGTCCTTTTTAGATTATTTCTAGCAGTGGAAACTTATAACTTTGTACTTTTTTTAGTATACCAGTGCCAAACCAGCGGCACTAGGAGTGAGCGACCGGCGGGCGGCAGCCGCTGATCTCACACACCTGCGGCCGCATTGCCCATACATACATGCAGTACTATATTTACATTTTAATTTACTTAAATGCACCTTTTTCTTTTCTTCAAACTAACTAATCTTTGCCTGGATACAGTCACTGTGTAAAATTTTGATTATAAAGAGTTGTCCTTTCTCTTAGAATGCTATTGAAATAGTACTAATTTTTAAACAACCTAAAAAGTCGAAGTTTTTTTTAAATAAATTTGTATTTGAAAAATATTACATTAGTGATAACATTTTTAAGATATAATAATTATCTTACATACCAAGATTATTTGGCAACATTCTGACCAGAGACTAAAAAGCCCTCTGGAGGAAATGTGCCTTAATACTGAATTAGTCTGTGTCAAGTTAAGCCCTATCTTCAAACTTTTTATCAGAGATTCCGTCGTTGCGGGTATAAGTGTTTACACGTGTTTCGGATATCATTATTTAGTATTTTCTATTTTTTCTCGTAGTTTAATGAATATAAGTTGACTTATCCTATTGGTGGTGGTTAATTAATAACATCAACTAATTACGTAAGTTATTTTTATTTATTTGTTATATTTCTCCCTTTACCTTGTTATATTTTTGTTAGTCTATAATGGAGAAACGCCCTCCAGACCCCCTGATCCTCCGGATAGGGTCTCTTCTCCGGTGGAATCAATGGATTTATCCACCCCACTGTTGCCCCAACCTGGTGTCAAGCGCAGACTTGATACTGTCAATGAATCTTTAGTGGAACCTTCCAAAAAACCAATGACTGATGTCCGGTCATCTGTTGATGACGTCAACCCAGGATTTTACTCTCATCCATCTCTCACTGGCTCTCCCAAGTCATACCTTGTCAATGACAAGGGCCCTTTTTTAGTCCATGTTTCTTGCCCTGAATCTGACCCATCCGCCGGTACATCAATCCGTCCAATTAAATTTGGTCACTTCTTGGTAAAAAATAAAGTAAGTAACATTGTTCGTGATGGTGTTAAAAGAGTGGGACGTAACAGAATATCTGTTGAGTTTAAGTCGGGTTTAGATGCTAATAATTTTGTGTCTAATCCCATTATACCTTCCAGCAATTATTCTGTTACGATTCCTAATTACAATGTTTCCCGTATGGGTCTTGTGAGAGGTGTCCCAGCTGATTGGTCGATGCAAGAATTTGTCGAAACCCTGGAAATTCCTGAAGGTATTGGTATAGTCCTCAAGGCCAGACGCCTAAACCGCAAGACAAACTCCGATGGTCAAATTAATTGGATTCCAACACAAACTGTTGTTTTAACCTTTCAGGGACAAACCCTTCCGGAGAGAATATTCTCCTGTCATAGTTCCCTCCGCGTTGAAACGTACCAACTCCCAACAATTCAATGTCTCAACTGTTGTAGATTTGGTCACGTAAAGTCACAATGCCGTTCTAAGCCTAGGTGTTTTCGTTGTACTTTAGCCCATCCTGGTGATGATTGTAATATCCCTGAAATAGAGTCATTATGTTTATTTTGTACTGCCTCGCACTATGCGACCAACAAAGCTTGTCCTGAGCATAATCGACAAAAAAACATAAAGAGTTGTATGTCTCAGGAGAGCATTTCTTATCTCGAAGCATCGGCTCGGTTCAGACCTATCAGTGGCAAAACTTTCGCAGACTCTGTTAAAACAACGCCCTCCCCTTCATTCAATGTATCCCAGCCCATTATTATACCTTCCCAAGTTTCCCGTCAGACAACATCATACAGGAAAACGGTATTTCTCCCTCCTCGCTCTAGGCCAACATCAGGAAAATCCTTTGATAAGGCGGCCCATGAGGCCATTACTTCCAATTTTCCTCCTCCTCTTTACCCAATGGTTGTGCCGTAAGCTCCCCAACCCTTATCAACAATGAAGTCTCCCCAAATGAAAATCTTCTTGACTGCTTATGGGCAGTCATTTGTAACATGCTATCTAAATATGATGACATTCCCATACCGTCCCACGTTGCCCAAAAAATTAATTTGCTCCACTCATTCGTCACCAAAAATGGCGAATCTAGTAATCCAGTGGAATTGTAACAGTATTCGCAGTAAAAAATCCGAATTAACCTTTCTCATCAATAAATTCGCTCCATCTATTCTAGCCATTTCGGAGACTTGGTTATTGCCGGGTTCCCGCTCTAGGGTTTCTGGGTATCGATGTCTCCGAGATGACAGGGATGATGGCTATGCTGGCTGTGCCTTTTTGGTCAGCCGATCCCTCACCTTCCACTCATTATCTCTTCCTCATTGTGATGGTATTAATGCTGTTGCTATGAGAGCTTTTAATATCTCGTTTATTTCTGTTTATATTCCCCACCCCCATATCGACCTCATTTCTGATATACGTTCTATTATCCTTTCGGTTCCTCCTCCTGTTGTCATGTTGGGTGATTTCAATGCCCACCATGTTTCTTGGGGTTGTCATTCCTCAGATTCTTTTGGGTCCCTTCTACTAGATTTACTCGATGATATAAACATAAGTGTCTTGAATAATGGTTGTCCTACGAGAAGGAGTCTTCCATCTCAGAATCCCGCTAACGCAGTGGATTTATCACTTTGTTCTCCTGATCTTTTCCCTTTTCTATCCTGGCGTGTTTTTAAGAGCACTTGTGGGAGTGACCACTTCCCCATTTTAATTGATCTCCCAACCAATTTAAGGAGCGTTACTCGCCCTTCCCCTCTTTTAAAATTTAAACTGAATCAGGCCAATTGGTCAGACTTTTCATCTTCTATTGACTCTAAGATAGCTGCGCTCCCCGCAGTTTCTGTTGAAAACTGCCTATCTTCATACAATGATTTTGTCAACTCCCTCACCTCATCTGCCAGTTTACATATTCCACTCAAATCTTCTACACTAAGGAAAATTTCTCCTCCTTGGTGGGATTCCGAATGTACTGAGATGATTCGAAAAAGAAAAACGGCAGAAAGGTCATACAGTCTTTGCATGACCTTGGAAAATTTTTTAGTCTACCAACAAGCTTCTGCAGCTGCTCGCAGACTTCTTAATAATAAGAAACGTCTTGGTTGGCATAAGTTCTGTGAGAGCATGTGCCCTGGTACCCCTTCGTCTGTTGTTTGGAGGCAGATCAGAAGATTCCGTTGTTCCCTCAATTCTTATGATGTCCCTTTTAATGATCCGTCTAGCTGGATTACCTCCTTTGCCGACAAATTGGCTCCTCCATCAGTCCCTTTTTATGATTGTCTTCCTTATAAGTATAATTCTTACATCCCCTCTTCAAACAGTCTAGATTGTCAATTCTCCTTAGAAGAACTTAACAAAGCATTAAATGGTCTCTCTGACTCTTCCCCTAGAGAAGATGGAATCCCTTACTCATTCCTCATAAATTCTTCATTAGGCACTAAGAGGTACTTTCTAGATTTAGTAAACTGTTTTTTCGATCATGGAATTATTCCTGAATCGTGGAACAGACAAATCGTCATTCCGCTTCTAAAACCTGGCAAAGATCCATCAGATTTCTCTTCATACAGACCTATTGCTTTGTCTTCTACCCTTTTAAAAATTATGGAACATTTGATTAAAATTCGTTTAGAATGGTTTTGTGAAAGTAACAATATCTTTGCAAAATCCCAGGTTGGTTTCAGGAAAGGCTTAAGTACGATGGATAGCCTAAGTATAATAACGACCGACATTCGCATTGCTTTTAAAAAGAAACAGTTCCTGGTGGGTGTTTTCTTGGATATCGCATCTGCGTATGACCACGTGCTGGTTCCAGTGCTCAGGCAAAAAATGCTTCAGCTGAGTATTCCTGAGAAGTTGGTACGTTTTGTTTGCAATGCAGTTTCGAATCGTTATATTATTATAAGATCTCAAAATACGGAGCTGTCTCCTAGATCTATTTGGAGGGGCTTACCCCAAGGTTCTGTTTTGAGTCCTCTTCTGTACAACATTTACACCTATGACCTGGAGCTTGTTGTGAATTCCTTCTGTCAGATTCTTCAGTACGCGGACGATGTAGCCTTATACTTTTCATCAAATTCTATTGAAGAGGCATCATCACGCCTAAATTCGGCTTTGGATTATTTGGGTGATTGGTTAAATGATCATGGTCTCTCTATTTCTGTGCCCAAATGTTCGGCAGTCACGTTTACTACAAAATACAAGGTTCCACGGTGTAACATTTCATATAAAGGGTCCTTGGTATCGTGTTGTAAGCAAGTAAAATTTTTAGGCCTTATTTTAGACTCAAAGTTAAACGGTGTTCCTCATTTTAACCATGTGATTAAAAAAAGTGAGAAGGGTGTTAATGTTCTCCGTTCATTATCTGGTGTGAGGTGGGGAGCACACCCCTACTCAAAAGCTTTTATACAATGCTGTGGTACGAAGTCATTTTGATTATGGCACCTTCCTTTTAGATCCTGGCAACAAGCAAGCCCTTGATAAAATTTCCAAAATTCAATCGAAATCTTTACGCATCATCCTTGGTGCTATGAAATCCTCTCCCATCAATGCTCTCCAAATAGAATGTGTTGACCCCCCCCTGTATTTACGTAGACAATTTTTAAGTGACCGCTTCTTCATAAAAGTCCTTCAATACTCTTCACATTCCATCTTGTCCAAATTACGTCGCTTATCTAATCTCACGATGCCATCTAGTACAGGTAATGTTCCATGCCTGTTACACAGTTTTAATAAACTTTCTCGTCTTCCTAATCCTATTGAAAGTTTCCCTAGTAATCCCTTGTTTTTAAATAGTTATGAATCCCTCATTTTTGATCCTAAAATAATTTTAAACTTTGGAATTGAAAAAAATCCACCCAAGCTTCCACTTGTTTTCTGGAAAAAATTTCAAAAGACTGGCAGGGTTGGTTAACGATGTATACTGATGCTTCCAAGATTCCCAATAATGAGTACATCGGTGCGGCTGTATGGGTTCCTTCATTCAAAACAGTATTGAGCTTTAAACTTCCTCCATTGACCTCCGTTTTTTCAGGTGAAGCTTTTGCAATCCTAGAAGCGGTTTTGTATGCTGAGTCCCACAACCTAAATAAAGTTACAATTTTTTCCGATTCTCGCAGCTGTTTACAGGCAATTCTTTCCAATCCATTCAGGTCTAAAAAAAACATAATACGATTCTAAAAATAAGAGAAGCTTTGTTTAGGTGTAGTAAAAAAGATATTCATATTGTACTTTTGTGGATACCTAGTCATTGTGGTATAGCGGGTAATGAAAATGCTGACTCTTGTGCAAAAGGTGCTATTTTCTGCGGATCTTGTCAGCATACCAACATCTCGGCCCACGACCTATCAGCTCTTGCGTACTCCCACCTTTTAAAATCCTGGACTATTGATTGGCAATCTTCTAAAGTAAAAACTGGCAGACACTATGCTAATATTCAGTTTTCAATCCCTTCTTCGCCGTGGTTTTTTAAACATAAGTTTTTAAACAAAAAGGTCACGTCTATAATCTGCCGTCTTCGTATAGGGCACGCTTGTACTCCCCTTCATCTAGCCAAAATTAAAATTAAAGACAGTTCTCTCTGTGAGTGTGGTATGGACGAGGGCTCGACAGACCATATATTTTTTAACTGTTCTTTAATTAATGACTCGTTATTTGACCATCTTTCTCCAGATTTCCCTCGTCCATGTAACCTTAACTCCCTACTTTCCCTCCCATCCAGCTCGATCGTCAAAATTTTAGGGAAATTTATTTCTGTTAATAAATTAAAGTTATAAATAAGATTCTCCCCTCCATACCTTGTAATAAAATGTTAACCTCTTGTATATATTATTAGATGTCTGTGTGTGTTGTATTTATTGTGATGTCATTTTTGTTTTGGGTAACTCTGCTTAGATAAAATTCAATCTATCAAAATTATCAAATCTATCCTCACTGTGTGAAGACTTAGAACGTGACATTGGCGGAATTGTGATTTACACAGATGTCGCCATTATAAATAAAGTGAAGTGAAGTGAAGTGAACTTTTTATCACTAGAAAATAATGATTTTGCTAAAAATATTTGAAGGCTCTGTCCTTAAGAGAAGCATGATTGTAATTAATTGTTGATAATATGTAAATAAATCTTAATTTATGATATATTAGTCCTGTATAAAATTAGATATAGACCTTAAAAGTAATATTGCTAGATATTTAATGATTTCAAGACTCTCACTCAATCTTTTAAAAAATTGCTGTTTATATTTTAATAAAAAAATAGTTAAGTAAAAGTCCAAAGATTTTTCAAAAAATATGTTCACACTTACAACACACGAATTTTATTAGTTCATATTTGAAGATAAAAAGTACTGTTGTACAGAATTGCATAATATTAAAAAGTATTAATTATTTATGTAAATTGTAATTTATAGTTATTGTAAATATTGTCATAGTTAGATACCTATTAAACTTGTGTATACATTATAATGCATAATTGTCGTTTTAAGGATCCCAATAAATTATTGTTTCAATTTACGTGTTTTTATGTAAAAAAAAAATGTATGCTCAAATAATCATTATTACAACTTCTATTTTAGAATTCGAATTGAATTGTACTATAAAAACTTGTTTTGAAAACTATAATTACTGCAATACAGTTGTTTCTGAAGTATGGTGGATATCATATTTGCACACGGATGTAGTAATCCTTTTCCCAGGTTTGATCCTAGGTAGAAGAACATTTTGGTAAAATAAAACTAAATGCATAGTGTTCATTATAAAATATTTTATAATTAAATGTTTATATTTACTCAGGCTTGTTCAAATATGTTAAAGAATTAACCCAGTAACTAAAATAATAATGTGTATAAAATTGATAGCTGGATAAAAAGATTTGGCACAAATTTCAATTTACTAATTTGCATTTAGTTAAGCAAATTAGGTATTAGTTGCAATCATTATCCATTGCTAGTTCTTCCTTAACTGTTTTACCTTTTGCTTCATCTTTTTGAGTTCTGAAATGAAACATAATATACAAATATCAGATTTCTATAATTAGGATATATTTAATAACCTTTTAAACATTGTTCCATACAAGTGTATACATTTGTGTAAAATAATAGATCACTTCAATAAGATTTTCATAAAAATTATAAATCTCCAATCATTTTAATAAGCATTGGGCCATATTGACCATGTGAGTTTGATATTCAAAATTAACAGAATGAAGTTGCCCACGGAAGATGCTACGGCATTGGACATAATTTAAAAACGACATTCGAATAATAATAGGATTTATGTTACACTTAAGCAGGCCATAGACGGACCGCATGTTGCAGTCAAGACTGACTGCAATATGCAGTTTGCTCAGGAACTGCTCGAGCGGTCCGTGTATTGCGAATATGAATTTAGTATGGAAACTGAGATCGCCGTGCAGCGACCGTCCGTCATGGCCCGCTTTAATGTAATAATTTTGCTTTAATGAGAATAATAATAAATATTTATTTATTTAATTTTTCAAATGTAAACTGAACTTTATTGACTATGACTCCTTTTCCAGTCTTTGATTATTTAATTGTAATTAATTATTTGCATGCAATCAAAAACTATTTTTAATTATGCCAAAGAAGTATAACTTCTTACGCGCGTACATATAAAGTACACGCACCTTTTTTTTATTTTTCCATTGGTTCAGTAGTTTTTACATAAGTCTTTTTGACTTATTTTAGTAATAATGCTACAAACCTATTTTTGTTAGAAGGCGTAAAAATCCTTGTCACCTGAGCAGACAATTTCTTCACACGGATTATGTTACCTTCATATAGTTCATTGTCTCCATCTAAAGCCTAAGAACAAACTATTATACTACTAGTCACTTAAAACAATAAATTATATTAAGCAGTTTTGAAAATAATTTCAATTTCTAGTTTTAAAAAAAAATTATTAATGGGACATACTGCTGTGGCTTCTTTTTCTGTTGTAAAGAAAATACGTGTTGTGAATATTGGTTTAGCTTCTTCTGCACCACACTTTAAATCTGCCACACTAAAAAAGACATCAATTATTATATATAATACTATTGCGTTCAAGAGAACTCATTTCAAAGGACTTACCCTATAGACTGGACTGTGCCATATTTGGAAAAAAAGTCTCTTAGCTTTTGCTTATAGGTAAGAAGTATTCTGAAAGGTAAATTCTGTACTATTACACCAGCATGCATTTTTCGGTTTCTACGTTTCCTAGAGTTTCGATTATTCTTTGGCTTGTCTTCAGATTTCTTATCAGGACTTGATGTTTCTACATTTGATTTTTTATTATTTTTTTTCTTAGTCTTAGTAACAATCATTTCATCTAACAGATTAGTTAATGTGTGAGTATTGTCTCCTATATTTAAATTCTCTATTCCATCCGCAATATTGTCAGGTTTACTTTTTTTAATGTTTTTTTTTTCAGGTTCTCCTACTTCAGACGTCTCTAATATGTGCTTATTTTTTTTAGACCTTTTAGATTTTTTTACACTAATTGCTGCATCAACATTTTGTTTTGCGTTTTTACTAGCACCTGTATCAGTAGGATTTTCTTTTTCAACACTTTTTAATGCTTTGCCATGCTTTCTTCTTTTTTTCTTAGCATCTTGCTTTTCAAAAGTAGGCAAATTAATACCAGTCATATTACAATTTGATACTGTGTTATTATCCTTTGATATTGTTGAAGTTCTAATATCTATATCATTTATATTACTATCAGGTTTTCCTTTTTTATTCTTTTTCTGAAATACCTTCTTTTTATTGATTTCAGTTTTGGAGTCTAAGTTTTGCATATCATTTATGAATGGATTGTTGTCATTTTCTTTATCTTCTTTCTGTATCTTCTTAAACCTCTTATTTTTCAGTTTAGGTTTCTTTTCTTCTGTTTTTTGCAGCAAGGACTCATCTGATTTAGTTTTTTTAACAACTACTTCATCATTCTCTTCTAACATAAAGCTAACAGATTTGTTCCTCTTCTTTCGATTAAATTTTGGAACACTTGACAAATCAAGCGAGTTTTCCAAGGTAGGTGAGTCTTTTATAATGGGCTTAATGTTTAGATTTCTTTTTTTAGTCATGTTTGGGGTTGATGTAATTTTTGAACCATTTGGAGAACCGTGTCTTAGTTTAGAGCCCAAATTTTTACCATCTATATCAATTTTCGTCACCGATACTTTTTGACCTTTACCATTTTTATTATGTGATTGTGGAGGCAATAATGTATCACACGAATCATTATTATTGATTTGAGAGCCTTTTTTCAAAGTCGTACTGCTTTCAGCTGCAGTTTTGTAAAAATGTGCAAAATCCAAAGTTTTATTAACTCTAGCACTGTCAGGATTGGAACTTGGAAGACTCAATGATTTAGAAATCATTTTAGTTATAACTCCTACAACTAAGATTATGTCAGAAATTACTTTATAAACTTACAACGTTTAGGTTATATCTTATTGAGTTGGTTCCATGAAGGCATGAACCTCTTCGAAGAATATTATTGAAATCTCGTGTCGACTGTCAAAATTTTCGTTTAATATAATATGTCAAAAAGAATATTTGAAAATCCCCGTAAAATAAATACCGAATAGTCTTGTAGATCTTTATGAAACATAGAATTTAACCTTAATAAAATTTTAATAAGTAGTGCCCATTTGATGTAACTTAATGTAGTTTCAACCTACTTTCTTACTGTGTAGTGTGTACTTACTACTTAGTGCGTTTTCCAATTACAGAGCATTATGCGACTCAGTGCCGCACAATGCCGCATAATGCTGAAGCTTAATTGGAACGTGAATTAGTTTTCAAATGCATCAGCAGAGTGCGCTAAGTCAGTGTTGTAAAAAAAATGTTATGAATTGAGTTAGCAACCTCATTAATGTATAAATAATGTGGTAAACAATAATAATTGGTTTTAATAAAAATTATTTCATTAACATTTTTTTATTGAAATAATAGAAAACCTTTAAAGAATATAAGGTTTTAACAAGCTAAATTAACAGTAAAATATTTAGTTTCATGTAAGAAGTTTACATCATTTACGTTTTGAGTAATATTTTTTTAATGATTTCTAAAAAAATTATATACTTTTTCAAAACCATTGCAATTTTTTCTAAACTATAATCCTGTAAAATAAATTTGTTTACAGATCCGAATTTTAAAATAAAATTGTATTCATATTTTAAATGTGGAATATAAAAAAAGTAACTATTTATACCTCCATCCATACTAATATTTATTTTTTTTAGCAGTTTGAAATAACTTTAATTATTTTCAAAATCTACGATGAAACGAAAGCCTTACAAGTTTTTCAACAATAAATAATATTTACTAACGAAAATTTCAATAAATGCCAACTTAAAGAAAAATACTGGTAAATTTTCTGTCACTGTGTTGGTATTGTTTGCGAGAAGCACGCGAGAGCATTCGTTTTGAGAGTGCTCAATTGTGCGAAGCGTTGCTGTAGTTGGAACACTCAACGTTGAGCATTATGCCGCATAATGCGCTCTAGTGCTGTAATTGGAAAACGCACTTATAGACTGCAACGCTAACTCTCGTTTCTAAAGCTTAGGTTTCCTAGAAAAGCGGTGCCGTTAACTAACGGCCGTCGTTTTACGGTTGTTAATAACGGCCGTCTTACTTTTTAACATTATGCAAAAAAACAATCATTTTCGCTCGTCCAAGTCACGTTTCCACTCATTGTATTAATTAAATATGGGCACCGCTACACGCGAAAAACGTTGAACTAATGTATATCACCGCTACTATTTGACGTTACGGTGACAACATTCTGTAGAAAACCTACTCCGATGTTATTTATAGACAACGTATTCGTGACGTCACCCAACGTTACATTACGGCACCGCTTTTCTAGGAAACCTAAGCTTTACCCTCTTTAACAGTGTGGACTGTGGTCTATTATTGCGTTTAGCTATGGTTTTAAGTTCTTTCGCTCTGTGCCTGAGTGGTTAAATTAATCTGTAAGTCTGTACTCTGTAGTCTGTAACATTAATGGCGGAATCGTTTGTCTAAAGCCGGGTACGACTACGCGTTATTTTTGCAAAAAATAAAGCCAATATTGTGAAACACTAGATTATTTGTAACTTGTAACGGTTTAATAATAACGGTAAGAAATACGAGTTAATAATTTTGCTTTAATCATAGGCTCCTGTCCTATGCCTTTTGCTTTTAAACATTGTAAGGCCAATACCCTAATGAGATTCGTGAATTTTCCATGGAACGCCATGCCCTCATGGCGCCTTTAGCGATGAGTTACTTTTGTTCAATGCGTTTTTTAACCCATGAAAGCAAATAGAAGACGCTGTCGTTATTGAGATTTCAAAATAGGTGGCTCTTATATTTTCCGTGCCTTAGAACGTCCTTGACGTTAGGCGCCAAATATTTTTGCGCGACGCTTTACATGTAATGTATTTTTTATTCAGAAATATATTCCGAAAATGGTCGCGGCTAAAAGAGGTCGAGGCGGCGCCCAGAAAAAAAATGCTAACGATAATGAGGAAGTAAGTCAGGTCCAGTCCCAGGCAGAAGCGATTGCATCGGTTGAGGAGGAAAATAATGGGGAAGCTCAACCAGAGAATCAAGAAGAGAACGCTAGTGAGGAAGCTGCTGAGCAGTCGGAAGGTGCAGATCAGGCGGGAGCTGATGCAGAACAGGAGACCTCTGAAGATGCAAAGCCAGAAGAGCCAAAGGAAGAAAAAGTAGAAACGGGTAAACTTCTAGTTGAGAACCTACCTTCCAGTTATTTGTTTGACTATCAAGACAAACTGAAAGAGTTGTTCTCAAAACATGGAGAAATCAACAGCGTAAAGTAAGTTTTTTTACATTGTTTTCATATATTTATATTTTACACAACTGCTAACATTCAAATATCAGTTCTATTTAAATAAGATTGTTATGGGAGAATAAATGATGTATCAAGGGTTTTCATAAAAACATAATTAACTATTGTTTGACAGTTCTGTATTGTAAATTGCATTCAGAACTTGTAAAGCGGAGTATTAATGAGAGACATTTTCTTTCTTTTTAGACGTGGTCCGATCATTGTAACTGAATTGACCACAACTCCAACATTATCGGCTATTGTCGAATTCAAAAACAAAGAGTCTCTGGAAAAGGTAAAAGTTTGTTAACATTTTTATTTTAATAGTTACATAACTAGTATTGTGTCCGTGATGAATAAAACTTCCTTAATGGGCACTCTAAAGCTAGATTTTTCCAAATTTCCTGTGTGACCCTTATATCAATGAGAATGACTATTTGAATGTTTGGATTAGCTGGTCTCCTACAATTGTGCTTGATTGGGTTCTTTTTTCATGTGTATAAGTTAAATAACAAAATTTATTATTTTATTGAATGTAGTAGGAGATCAGCCCATTATTCTCTCACAACTTGTTTGTGGTGTGTTATGTTTGATAATCATCAAATCATTTAATTTGTATCATATACCCATCCAATAGTAACAGAACAGAAATGTATATTGTATGTAAAGTAAGTATTACTAATGCTATATTTTAAACCTCTATGATATAGTTTGAAGATATATCTAGATGCCGGGTTGAAATTTTCTTATTCTCTTGTAATCTTTGTAAATAAATCCACCCAGTATAACTTTATCTTTTAGATCTGCCAAATCAGACTTCACACATTAGGATAGTTGATATACATATTTCCCTTTCATCATCATTATCAATGGCTATACAGCCCCTTGTAGGCCTTAGCCTCCTCAAGTATATTTTGCTATCGCAATCTAGTGCTTCTTGTGTCCAATTGTGAACCCCTATTGTATCGAGGTCCTTGACAACTCCATCCCACCAACACAGCCTCGTTATACCGGGTTTTCTCTTGCCACCAGGTTGTGAGTTCAGTAAGGACCTTGGGGTTCTGTCGTCCTCCACTTTGAATTGGACGATGTTGGCGTCGTCAAGGATGTTATAAAATTCTTCATTGTAGCCAATGCGCCAAACACCGTCGTCGCAAAGAGGGCCATAGATTTTTCGAAGAATCTTGCCCTTGAAAATAAAGAGAGCAAGCTCATCTTTCTTACTAAGGAATTAGGTTTCAGAACCTGGCAGCAGAGTTTTGTACAGTACAAGCTTGGTATTCTTTCTGAGAAGTCGCTATCAGAAATAACTACTAAGGCCAAATTAGCAGCAATTTGCTATCATAATGCGTCTACTGATCTCTCGGCTGAGATCACTAGTCACCATTGAGCTCATGTAAACAAACTCCGCACATTAATCAAAGCTTACGCCTTCCACGTCAAAGGGGTTTCTTGCTACTAATGGTGGTATGGTATATACTTTGGGTTTTTCCACATTTTTGTTTCGCGTGACTAGATCCAGGTCGTCTTACTCCAGTAATTGGGTGGACTTATAAAATATAGTACATCTGACTTCTAGTTCGTCATCTCTAATGTATTTCTGCAATGCTAAGTTGATCAGAAGGCATGGAGCGCGTCACCCTGTCTAAGGCCATTGTACGTGATAAATGCGGGGGCAACGTCACTTTGTATCTTCACATAATTAGTAGTATTAGCCATCGTCATTTTAGTCAGCCGTATAAGTTTTAAGGGAATATTGAATTCAGTCATTGCCTCGTAAAAACATATTTCCCTTTAGATAATAATAATATTATACTGATTACTGGTGAGGAAAACAAACAAATTTGATTATATAAGTAGGTTTTCCTTCGATTTATTTCCAAATTGTGATTTGGTTCAATGTAATTTAAAACCTTGAAACAACTATGTGTTAATAGATAAACAATACAGTCTTGTAGATGTCAATATTCATATGATGCAAGATCTAATAATTAATTTTAACTAAGTCTTAAACCATAATTTACATCTTATGTGCAAAAATAACAGTCATCATAGTAGTGTAAATAAATAATTTAATCTCATGTATATTATATATATGTATATTGTATATCAATAGGCTGGTATATGCTTTCAAATTCTCTATATTGTAAATTTTCAATATAAAAAGAAGGATATTTTAACATTGAATCCTTTATATTATATTCTTAGGTTTGTTTTTCTCACAGAAGTGGTAGGGAATGAGTTGATGTTTTTTTGCAGGCACTTACAGAAGATGGCTCAGTGCTAGAGGGTAATGCCATCTCAGTAGCTATAGAGTCATCGGCTGAGACAGCAGTTCTGGTCGGAGTGCCATATGAGGCCTCTACCGACTATGTAAAACTGCTGTTCAGTCAGTGCGGTGAAGTTGCACATATTCATGAGTTCAGCAAGACAAAGTTCAAAATCTGTAAGTAGTATAAGTGAATATCATGTCACTGATGCCTGGTTAATGAAATTGCTGATAATGTTGCCATGTATGTATTAGCAACTTTTGAAAGAAAGAAAAAATAATTATTTTTAAAATTAATCAACACAAAAAAATATTAATAAAATTCCACCATACAATTAAAGTCCTTTTAGTAGTTTCAGTTAGTAAATTTATTTACGTAACCAACAGTACGTAAATAAATTACCTACCCTAGTAAAATATAATACTTATTAATATTGGTGTGTCTGTGCGTACCTATGTGAGTGAGCATGTGTGGCTGTTTACTTAATAAATTATTTTGTATATAATTTTTGTAGGAAGCCTTTGTTTTATAAAAAAAATGAAATTGAGAAAATAAATCATTATGCTGGGCACAAATTTTATTAACGGGGGCGTTAGGGGCGGTTCAAGTATTACGTAGGCAGATTTACTGCAATTTATCCCCCCCTCTTGTCAGCAAAAGTAAGCAAAGCTCTCAAAAAAAATAGTACATTCAAAAGTAATAGTACATTCAAAAATAATAGTACATTCAAAAATAATAGTACATAAACGTTTATTTTTTTTGTAGGAATCCTCGAAAATGCATTTTGTTTTCAAGCAACGACAATGTGTGGGTTATATTATGTGTAAAAAAGTAAATAATTATTGTTGACGTAATCGCCAAATAAGAAAATCAAAGACCCCTCCCCCCCTATAGTGTTTACGTAGTACTTGAACGACCCCTTACGAGAAGAGTTCCATGGCTTGTTTTCAACAAACAATTACTGTAATGTTATTTTATGTATTGATGTGGCTTAGGGTGGCCAAATGATATTGTAAATTGGACATGATTGACCTTAAATTACGTTTAGCACTGTAGATAGTGCAAATCATTTTCTATATATCTCATAATAATTGCAGTGCGCGTCACGTTCCACTCGAAGGAGAGTGTGGAGCGAGCGTTGAAGCTGGATCGGGAGTTGCGGCTCAACGGGTTCCTCGTCACTGTCTCACGCTACCGCGATGATGATGAACAGAAGGCCCACGCTAACGCCAATAAGGTAGGTTTATCGCTGTTCAATGTCCCTTAATTTTTTATCACAACTGACACCGTCTTATATATTGGATATAGTCTATATAGTCTTGAGACCAAAATATTTTTTATCTATTTGAAGTGAAACTTCTTAAGGCGCATGAGGGTAATTTTTTTACGGATGAAACGCAATAATAATAATATTAGCGTCATGAAGATGTGCAGCGTTTTTGTCGAAGAAAAGGAAGAGAGCGATTGAGACCGATTGAGAGAGAGTGAAAAGGGCGAATTACCAATTTTGCATAAATTAATATTATATTTTATTTTTATTAAATTAATATTAATAAAATATAATTAATTATGATTACATTTTATGCAAAATAAATTATTGAAATCTCAAATGACGAATTGTAAATTAAAATGCCACGTGTTTAAATTATTGAAGAAATAAATTAAATTTATAATTTGTATTAATTTTCGACACTTAATATTTTAATAACAATTAAATTCCTAACATATCTTCCTTTTTCCCTCCCTCTAAGTCTCGAAAATCTAAAGTTTTAGATTTGTATGAATATGAACAAGACATAAAAATTTGTTTGCCAAAGAAGTTTCACTTCTGACATGTGCACTTTGTACGCACGCACTTTTTTATTAATGCAATGAACAGATTGCTGTAGTTCGAAACTTTTAGTTTTAATGTCATTTTTCTTACTAAGTAAATGAAACTCTGGATTAGTAACTCATGTCTGAGTATAGTAAGATCAGACGGGAATAGTTTTCGTTTTGTTTGCGTTTCTTTTAAAAGTATACTTGTAAGGACGACGAGTCTTTGACTTAATCAGTACGTCTCGTTTGCGAAGGTTCACGCCATCTTTGGTCTGGTGTTGCCAATCACGATGAGATTCTCTTAAGTTCTCGTCGCCCCGAAATGATGCATTGTCGGCAAATGGTTTATGAAACATGCGATGATAAAAACTTTTTTAGAATAGTTATTGCTTTGTGTAAAGTTATATTTTAGAATGGACAAATGTTATATTGTTATTAGTCATAGTAGTCCTAAAGGTTGACAATTTTTCTAGTATAGACATTTGGCAGGATACATTTATTACAATAAAGTTCCTCTTAATAACGTTTATTGTAAACATGTCCTCAAAAAGATAAAAAAATGTAAGTAAAAATCATCTCAGAGCTCTTTGACAGCTAATACAAACTGATCCAAGTTTTAGTACTAAAATAATAGGTACAACTTTAAACAAAATAATTATAGGGTAATAAGCGTCAACACGGTGGTCGTAACAACACGAGCAGTAGCAGCGGCACCAGTCCGGCCCCACCCGCCACACGGAACAACTCCTTCCGTTCCAGAGGAGGAGCTGCCCCCTTCAACCCTAGGGGGAACTTTAGAGGTACCAATTTTTGTTGATAAAGCTGCACAATTTATAAATACAATTTTAAGCAGCAAATATATTGATTTTCGGTTTTTTAAGCACGTTTTTACATTGGTGTGGTGGTAGCGTAAACTTGTTGTCCACGAGATGTCCAAATTTCAGTATGCTTCTAGATTTCTACAACTTTATTAAAATCTAACGCAAATGTATGTTTTTTTTATTATTCAACTAGCTTATCTGGTGAAGGTCGTTCGAAAAGTCTATTAATGAACAGATTTATGATTATAAAGCTATCATGTTCAATTTTATATTAGGATAGTAAATTATATATAAATTTTAAACATCAAGTATTTCAATGACGTCAAGACACGCTGCCAGAACCAGCAAGAAATTTGTTTTACTGGACATAGATAACATTACGTGAGCTGTCATTAGCATTTTGTTATACAATTTATTACACATGAACGGCTATACATATATTAATATAATATGTTATTACATTATTATCCTATAGACGAAGACAAATAAAAAAATTACACAAATTGCAGCCGTTCTTGAGTTATAAATGGTACAACTAACACTACTGTTTAATATATATAAATTTTGTGTTAATACTAGTTTATGAGTGCTGCCAAGGAGCAAGTCGTATTGTGTATTATATATAGAGGGATTTGATATTATGTCAGTTTTGTTACTGTTCTATGTAATTTGTAAATGATTTAACATGAGGTTTTTTATTGAATTTTCCCCAGGTGGAGCTCGCGGCCGTGGGTTCGCAGGTCGCGGTGGGGCTTACCCGCGCGGCGGCTTTGCCCCCGTCAACTCGTACCTGCCTCCGCAGCCATACATGGCACGTCCGGTATGTATACCCTTAATCTTTCTCCTTCATATTTAAAAACGCGTAAACTCTATGTAATTTCACTCGATTTGGTCTGCTTCTATAATAGTAAAAATTAGAATCTTTCCATATATCGCCAGATATACATACAGTCAAAACCGTTTATAATGACATTGAAGGGACCGTATAGTTGCCGACGTTATATCCGATAGTCGTTATAAGCAATGTCATATACACAAGTACAGTACATATTTATGTACATAGTTATATTATCATAGTTATCTATCTAGAATAGGTAAGTATGGGTATAATATGGTATGTTAATATTATAATATGTAAAGGAGTCAAAAAAGAAACATAAATAGTTATTACGAAATAATTAGGTACAAAAGTAATAAGTCATTTTGGTCTGTTTTTTTGAGCCCAGTCTCAAATATTTTTTGCATTTTATCCATATGACATGAGATTTTTATTCAATAGAAAACACTTTTCTCTTTTTTTGCGACATGATAACACATAAATGCACAATTGCACAGTCTAAACAACACCAACACTTTTAAATCAAACTGTTACTCACGCAGTCAATTAGCGAACTAAACATGTATAAAGTATGCAAGGTCAAATGGCCGGGAAGAGTTTCGGATGAGGCGGGAGAAAGTGCGTAGGTAATAATATGCCTAATATTCATTCAATGCTTATAAATAAGATTTAAAATCGTTTGTATTGTTTTGCGGAGACAAGAAGCGGATGGTCGTTATAGCCGATGAATATCGATAAAATTTCGTATTCATCGAAAAATAAATTTCGTCGTTGTAAGAGATATGTCGCTGTATCCGATGTTGTTATAAGCGGTTTGTTTACTGAATAGTTTACTAGGGATTCGGACGGGACCATACAATCTGGTTGTAATAACCGATAGGTCGTTGTAAACGATGTCGGTATAAACGGCTTTGACTGTATATCTATAGATATTATGAGCAGTCCCTTCAGCGTCGCTATATAGAGTTTACACATAGCAACGTACTTTGAGTTCCTTTTTATGTAATAATAAAAAAATTGTGTCAGGCCTGTATTTCCATGTAAAATTGGGGTATACCGTTTGTTTAACATAAGTTCATATAATAATCATGTATATTAATAATAATTTTCAGTAATATTTTTGCTTATTTTCACTGCGACTTTAGCCAACACTGATATTTCTAAGCTTTATTTTTTGCAACCATTTCCCATACCTTAGATTTGTGAATTTTTTGTTTTTATGCATTTTTTGTTATTGCATGTCGCTTTGAAGAGAAATGAGTGCATAGAAACATGAGCAAAGAAATACAGCAAATGTACGGCGAATGCAGGACCTGCTGATTCTTTGCTAATAATTGCTTCTGTGCATTCTTTTCAGAGTTACATGTAGTCTTGTGAAGAATTACCCAGGTACTACCATTTTAATATTAATTTAATAATTATATGTAATACTCCACTCATGAGACACATACTTATATCATGTACATGTTTTGGTACACTGCATGTTTTAGCCCCCTAGCTTTAGTGGTTTCTTTGTAAAAACTAAAATCATATAATTCTTATCAGTGTGCAGCCTTTTATTGCATTTTATCAATAATTACTTATGCACACCTTAAAAACACAAAAAAACACTAAGGTAACCTTGATGCCTGAAAAAATTACAACTCGATTTAAATCACAGGAGAGGTTTTTAGCTTTGGAGGCTGAAATCAGCTAACTGCCAAATTAACGTTATTAAAACTTTTTAATGAACTTTCGTTGCATACCTTACAGACAAACTCAAACACAATGATTGTCTGTTTTTTTAAAGAATTAGTGTTATGGTAGAAATATAAGGTTAAAATAAATCATTGAAAAAAATCGTTAACATTGCAATCTTAAATAAAGTAGGACAAGCTATAAATAGCACCAAACTTAATACGCAAAAAAATAAATATGTGCTTCAAAAAATAGGTTTGAAATTACATTCCTATCTGTAGACAAATAATATAACATCTATGTTAATTACATAATTGGCTTTGCTAAGAGTTGATTGACCGCTGCGTGTGATCAGTGATTTCACGGTCATTTTGTATTTATTCAATTATCTTAACTTTCTCCGTAAACAAGAAATATTTTGTTAGTTCCTTTTACTGCGTGCTTTGGTGGTTTCCATTTAAATAATAATTTAAGCTTAAATTGTGGTACAAATACGATTTTTATTGCGTTTTTATGGGTGTTGGGACAATTTAATACAAAAAAAAAAAACACAAAAGTACACATAAATACTATTGTAATCCTTAAATTGATTCTACATCTAAATTACAATAGACCTTATCAGTACTTCTACTTCTGGTCCGTGGACGCGAAGAAAGAATTCGGAAATCCATTAACTGTGCCTTCTCTTATAGTTTCTTAAAATATTAAAAGAAACCTGAGTTGTAGTTCGTATAAAAATTGGAAAAGTAAATATTTTGTTATATTTCAGCAGGGCGCCTTCATGGACGGACAGCGGCCGAACAAGCGACTCCGACAGATGTAATATAGTTGTGTGCGTGAGGACGGACTACAGTGCGTGTGTGTGTGTGTTGACGGATAAATCTAGCCAATTGTATTTACTAAGTACACAGATAAATTTAATTTTATTGTCTTTTGACAGCTAATAAATGATAATATCAATTATGTGGTTTTATTTTTTCTTAAATTCTTCGACAATACATGATCGATATATTATACCTTTCAATTTAACAAGTAAAACATAAAGTAGTAATAAGTTATTACTTGCCTATTAATTCCATAATGAAGAAAGTTGTACGTTTAAGATCTTTGTGATTTACTTTTTGTCAACAATCTTCAGGCATAAGGTACACGCAATATTCGAGGCTGTTGCCTTCTCGTTTGCCTATCGATAAAAAACCAACCGTATGCGAGAATCGCTGTCACCTAACTCGACTTTTAATATTGTTTGTGATCGCAACGAACGTGGACGGCATAGGTGATAAAATGAATTATAAAGTGCATTTAATTGTTTTTATTTGTTTAAGTTTAACGATTAGTGTTAGTGCTTCCCGCCAAAACGGAGTAAATTCAAAAAAAGAATCCCGCCCGAAAAAAAATTTAGTAGTTCACGAAGAGTTGATGGATAATTTATTTGTAATCTATGACCCGTCCTTTTTGGCCCTGGTGTGGCCTAAAATAAAGAACGGTGTACACCTGAGTTTAGATAGATATTGTTGGGGTGAACTGAGGGTGCTTTTTAAGGATTACTTGGACGGGCGAGCTTGGGCCTATAAGAGTAAGTATACATTTTCATGTATTTTTATGATGTGGTACTGATACTAGTTACTACAACTAAAAATACAATTTCCAAGAAAAAAAGTCAAATTTTATTTGCAATAAGACTAAGCAACGTTTTTTTAAAGTAGACCCAAGGTCACATCCTTCAAGTCGAACTCACAAAAAATTTAAAAAACGTCGTCTTAGCAAAATGCTATGTCATAAGCAAATGCAGGGCAGTTAGGGGTGACAACGATCTGACAACATCCTGGCTAGAATTTAAATAAATCTCCCGACGATTAATCAACTTTTAAAAACAAAATTTCTAGGAAACTATAAATTATCTTAATTAATGTAAATACAATGGATCGAAAGCAAGAGTGTCACGCGCGGACGCCGCTCGCAAGATTGGCTGTCAATGACATTACGTGTACTATTATGAAATAAGTATTAAGTTCTTAAACGATATTCCTGAAAAGGCATTTAGGAAAAAGTTGATTAACAAGAGAATAGTTAGTACAAGAGAATATATTGAGACCAGTGGCGTAACAATAGGGTGGCAGGGCTGGCAAAATGCCACCGGCCCCCGACCCAAGAGATATTATGTTCTATGGATGAATGTGAAGTCTCCAATACGCATTTGGCTAGCGTGGAGATTACAGACCATTCCCTCTCGCCTACGAGAGGAGGCCTATGGCCATTAGTGGGACGTGTAATTAAGTACGCTGAAAATCTCGAAGTTTATTAAAATTAAACTGAGTACAACGTGACTTTTACTGATAGGGCTCCATCAAAAGAATTTGCCACGGCCCCAGATGGTATAGTTACGCCACTGATTGGGACCTACATTATAGGCAACTCATACGAAAGTCAAGAATTCTAAAGTAATATAATACAAATATTTTTTCTTTCATAACTTTCTTGTAAACGTGTTTACAAAATAATTACGGACTAATGATGCATAAACTTTGAATTGATTTGTAAACTGTTAGTTCGCGTGTTTGACAAATGATATTACAAAAATCTGAGCATTACACAAAAGTCACAATTATTAGGTGCCTATAAGAACATTGTTGCCCTAGTGGCTTCGGCCTGCGTCTCATCCCTGTGGTCGTAGCTTCGAACTCCGACCCGACCGGTCTTTCTGTCTATGTGCCCATTTATGACTCGTACGTTGAAAGAAAACATCGAAGAAACCGGCTTGCCTTAGGCCTAAAAAGTCGACGTCGTGCGTCAGGCATAGAAGGCTGATCACCTGCTTGCCTATTAAAAACAAATGAAGTCTGAGGCCCAGACTGTTGTTGGTTGTAACTCCACTGTTATTTTTTTATTTTGTTAATTTTGGAATACATATTACTTACAAAAGTATCATAACTTAGAACATTACTGTACGAAAACGTATTGAACACAATATATTTGACACATGAGAGTCATACTTAGCACATATGTCTCGATTTTAAATGATCATTAATAATTTTCAGCTGCCGATGCCACAGGTCGATATTCAGCGTCATTTTTTAGTGGGAAAAAGTTCTGGCTAGGATCTAAAGAACAATGTCGTTTATTGGTAAGATTATTATTTATACGATTAAAATAATTTTTTGAACACATTGTACATACAAAACCTGTGGCATTCAAGAAATGGTTGAACCAATACGAAGGCACTTTTCTTATTTTGTTTCCAGATAATGGTAGAAATACTTCCTTTCCCGATTACCTTTTTCGGCTTCGCTATTGTCCTTCGAAATTCTGTATAAGCACATCTTATTTATCATATATTTAAGCACATTATTATATCTCTTTATTGTATACATCTGTCTAACTCGATATCGTTATGTATTTTAAGTTTTACAGCCGTGAAATTCACAAGTATTTTTATTACTGTTATTTTTTCTTAGGTTTGAGGACGCTTAAAAGCTATAATTGATAATTAAATTTTACTAATATATCAAAATTTAATGTAAAAATAAAATCATTTTCAGAATGAGGCATACCAGTCTCGAGAAGAGAACGAGACGTGGGGAGAGTTCTACAGCGGGGACTATCTTAACACCTTGTTAAAGAGAGAGAATCGATATGGAAATAGTACGTTATTTGCACTAAAATATCATTATATGTATATGTATGCGCCGATACACTTCAAGTCGCAATGGTTCTTTTCTTCATCAAAGTCGCAATGGTTCTTTTCGATATATGTTTACGTTAAACGTGTGAATTTCAATTCTAGAGTGGAGGCTTAAATAATTGACAAAAGAATATTTTCATGAAAAATAAAAGTCATGTTTGAGCATGTCTTTTCGCCTATTAAGAAAAATTGTTAATAGAGCAAGGACTTCAAGTCTGAGTAGATCATAGCGCCACATGTTTTTAGTAAGCAAAGTTAATTTTAGATCATCAGGATTGGCACGCTCTGGTGGAACGTGACGAATTGATGAAACGGGTCGTGAAGGCTGACAATTCTCCCCCATTTACTTTGGAATACAGCACTCTACGAGTCGAGTTAAATTTAACTAAATTCTCACTTGCAAAGGTACATAATTTCACAATTTTTTAAGCGTAATGTATTTTTACGTTTTGCGTGTTATACGGCATACTTTGTAACCAGTTAATAATTGGTGTTATAAAGTTAGATCAGGTTAAATAAGTAAACAAAATTGTAGCAATTATAATTCCTTCGCTGGTTCAATTTAACAAAAGTGTTTGAATGATCCTAATGTAAACATCTCTTGAATAATTTTTTAAAATATTTCAGTCTTATGATGTTACTCTGGGCGTGTGCCTTCCGCGATCATGTACAGCTGAAGACGTCGTATCCATTATTAACTTTTCGATAATGCTCAACGATCATTTAAAATCGAACAACTCACTTAGCAGATCCGTCAAGGTCACATCCATCAGACAAACACCAGGATATGATATAAAGGAGGACGTGGTCGCCGTTCTAACAATTCTAATAACTTTCATATTTGTTTTGCTAGCTTTTGTAGCCACTCTTGTTGATCTAGAAATATTCGCCGTTGAACATAAAACTCTTAACTTGGAAACTAATAAATTAAAAGATATAAATGGCTTCGAAAGAAAACCCGAGTCGCGGCCTGTTGTAGTAGATGCTGTTATGAAGAACTCGTATAACATAAGTACATTGAAATTGAGTGATCTGAAAATGCCTCCTTCGATTACGCTGGGCGTAGTGCCAATGGAGGGAACGGGGAATTGTACGCGCTGTGGAAAATACAAAAAACAGTGCGCAATCTCAAGACAATTCGAGAGCCTGCCACCTTGTCCGAGAGTGAAGTACAATTCTTGTGCGAGTTTAACTACGGAGTATAAGAAGAAAAATGGTTACTTAAAGAGTTTACTGCTCAGCTTCTCCCTGAAACACAGCTGGATGAGAATATTCAATACAAATATGGCGAATAAGGATTTGTCTGTGATACATGCTGTCAAAATTATCGCCACTTTGTGGGTAATTTTTATAAATGTTGCGGTTACTGTTAGTTACATTTCAGGTGAGTCGATGGTCTCACTAAGAACATCATGCATCTTGATCATAAATACCTTTGTTGTAATTATAAATAAAATAAACCCATGAAATTAAAAAACGCAGTCGAGTGAAGATTTTAATTTTAATATATAAATTCACTTTATTTATAACATAGGTAATATGGTTGTGACAAAATTGAATTTTTATTAATTGAATCAAATCAGGCATTGCTAATTAGATAATATTTATCCATTTAGCTATCATTACATTTTGTTTTCAGAAAGCGGTGATATAAATGAAAATAAAACAATGTACAATATATTAACAACTGGAACTCTCGCTTTTGACACATTATTTTTCGTAAGGTATGTTTTGGAAAATAATAATTTTGTCTTAACAATTTCGTGATGTTTATTTAAAGTGAAAGTAATAAGTTTTTTAATTTGGAATTAGACTTGTCTATTGTCGATGTGTAATATTGATTCAAAGCTTTTATACAATCAAGATACATGAATTAGTATAATGGATATTTCAGCGGTATATTCAGCGCGCACCATTTTTTCTATCTGAAAGGCAGATACTCCGTGAAACAGCTGGTTGCATGTGGCGGACCTTGTGGTCAAGCCTCACAGGTCATTTGCTTCGTCACAAATCGAATAATACGGTAAATATTTCTTTAATAAGGAAATAATTGGTTTTCTTATTATTTTGTAATTCATAAAAATTCACTTCTTGCACTTAATCCTAAGTATTTCTTTGTTTTGTTATTTTCCTTACTAGGGTTGCCTGGAAGAGATCGCTTATTAGCGATAAGGCTGCATTGCATCCCTAATATAATTTATGTTACATGTTTTTATTTGTAATGTAACGAAGTTTAAACAAATAAAAAATAAAACGATAAATCATTTTCGTCATTACATTTGTAATGATAGATTTCTATAGCATTCCATTATTTATCTACAGACGCCAAACCTTTTGATAGTAAAACTTAAAATTTGAATTGTTTACGTGCAAATAAGGTTGTGATTATCTTATTGCTTCCAGGTTACTACCGCCGTACATTTATACTATATTTCTATCGACTGCGTTGGCGCGCGTATCTGAGGAAAGTGCGACCCTGTCTTTCCTTTACAGCGATTCTCGCAACTGTCATAAATTCTGGTGGAGAAACCTTCTATATATCAGCAATTACTATCCAACTGAAGAACAGGTAGATGGATTTGATTTTTTAAATGTTATGACGATAGAAGAAAAATACCTTTTTTGTTTTGTTGGGCGGAATGTTAGGGCGTTTTAGGGAGGTTTAAATTTGAATAAAAATAGGCAAAATCAGCCTATAATATGGCGAACTTTGAAGATATCAGTAACAGTCGCCTACAGTCACATGTCTTTATGAAGGACAGAATATAACTGTGTCCCAATTGAACTCTTTGAACTTTCAGTGTATGCAAATATCGTGGTACCTGTCGACTGAAGCCCAACTCCACATAATTGGCGCATTTCTATGTTTCTTACTAACCACGCAAAAAAAGCGCTGGGTTGCATTTACTGCCGTACTTCTGCTATTCATCCCCACAGGCTTCGATGTGTTCACTGCCTTCAGTGAAGTTGGTCACAGGTAATACAACATTTATATACATTTAAGAAATAAATGAGATGAACGAATAATAAACGAACACTATAAATTTGAACTGAAGCTTCTTGTCTTCAGGGGTTTAAAAGGGGTTATTTATTTAGGGGCCTCATAGCCTAGCGGTCTTATTAAGTGGCAGCTAGGTGAGGGGTATCGGGTTCGATTCCCGGCTCGAGGGCAAGTTTTAATTTAATTTAAATTTGTTCTCGGCCTTTGGGAGGGTTGTGCGGTACCGGGCGAGTGCTTAAACCGTACATGGAGGGCACGGTCGAATTTCTAAAGGCAAGCACGAATTATAAAAAAAATCTTATACTTGTCTCTGGCTAATGCACAAACCGTGCCAGAGCCTTAAAAAAAGGGGTTATTTTAAACAACTACCTAAATATTATTAGGACAAATTAAAAGTACCCATAACCGACGAGGATGCAATGTCATGAAAGTGGATGAAGCGAGAGAGGTATGTCAGGACTGTAGCAAGTGTAGATCCGTTGTCTCAGCCTACCCCTTCGGGAAAAAACGCGTAATAATATTATTAAATATAAATAAAATATTATTATGTAATGTTAGTCAAATTGAAGTTAATTATATATATTTTGTAGGTTTTCAGACGTATTCATGGCGTACGATGTAATCATTTTAAGCCCGTGGTCACACGTTACGCCTTACATCCTTGGAATACTGACTGGCTGGCTTGTCTATAGGATCGATGGACTTCTGACTGTTTCTAAGGTATTTTTTAATACTCAGGTGTATTTAGATGTATATTGTTTCATCTTAATACTATAAAAAACTACTTATATGAATATGTCGTTTACTTTGAGCATCAAAACTTGGATAATTATAATACTTCACACAAACTGTTTAACGCCCGAACCAAAACCATAATCCACCATCTGGGATAGTAATCTTAATCCAAATTAATTTTTAACAAGTGTGCCAATAACCAATCGACGCATTGTAATAGTCATCTGTCGATGAAAGCTCGGTTTCAACAGTTAATTATTTTAACAGATTTTAACTTACACCTTTTTTTTATAATTATTAAAAGAAACTGTTTGTTATGTTTTAAACATACATATTTATATTTTAATGTTATTTACACGGTTTATTTACTTTATTTGGTTTACATTGATTATCAAATATGAGTGTAAACTCGGTAAAATGGAACGTCAAAGAGCATTTTATCCGTCGCCAAAATTGGTTGGGTTAGGTTAGGTTAGGTTTGGGTTTTAAAACCACCCACCCCCCCCCCCACCCCACCCCACAAACCCAGGCGGGGGGGGGGGGGGGGGGGGGGGGGGGGGGGGGGGGGGGGGGGGGGGGGGAGGGGGGGGGGGGGGGGGGGGGGGGGGGGGGGGGGGGCCGGCCCGGCCCGCCGGGGGGGGGGGGGGGGGGGGGGGGGGGGGGGGGGGGGGGGGGGGGGGGGGCGGGGCGCCGCCCCCCCCCCCCCCCCCGGGGGGGGGGGGGGGGGGGGGGGGGGGGGGGGGGGGGGGGGGGGGGGGGGGGGGGGGGGGGGGGGGGGGGGAAAAAAAAAGAAAAAAAAAAAAAAAAAAAAAAAAAAAACCCCCCCCCCCCCCCCCCCCCCCCGCCCCCCCCCCCCCCCCCCCCCGCCGCCCCCCCCCCCCCCCCCCCCCGGGGGGGGGGGGGGGGCCCCGCCGGGGGGGGGGGGGGGGGGGGGGGGGGGAAAAAAAAAAAAAAAAAAAAAAGGGGGGGGGGGGGAAAAAAAAACCCACACCCCAAAAACCCCAGAGGGGGAAAAAAAGGGGGGGGGGGGGGGGGGGGGGCGGCCCCCCCGGCCCCCCCCCCGCGGGGGCGCCCCCGGGGGGGGAGGGGGGGGGCCCCCCCCCCCCCCCCCCCCCCCCCGGGGGGGGGGGGGGGGGGCCCCCCCCCCCCCCCCCAAAACCCCCCCCCCCCCACAAGGGGGAAAAAAAACCCAAAAAAAAAAAAAAAGGGGGGGCCCAAAAAAAAAAAAGGGGGGGGGGAAGACGATGGCGACAGTACAATCAGCGGAGTCGTCTGTTCGCCCCACTAAAAAACAAAAAAAAAACAAAAAAACAACAACCAAAAACCAAACCCCCCCACGCGCGGGGCGCCCCCCCCCGGGCGGCGCCCCGCCGGGCCCCCCCGGGGGGGGGGGGGGGGGGGGGGGGGGGGGCGCCCCGGCGGGGGGGCGCCCCCCCGCCCCCCCCCCCCCCCCCCCCCCCCGCCCGGGGGGGGGGGGGGGGGGGGGGGGGGGGGGGGGGGGGGGGGGGGGGGGGGGGGGGGGGGGGGGGGGGGGGGGGGGGGGGGGGGGGGGGGGGGGGGGGGGGGGGGGGGGGCCCCGGGCGGGCCCCCGGGCCCCCCCCCCCGGGGGGGGGGGGGGGGGGGGGGGGGGGGGGGGGGGGGGGGGGGGGGGGGGGGGGGGGGGGGGGGGGGGGGGGGGGGGGGGGGGGGGGGGGGGGGGGGGGGGGGGGGGGGGGGGGGGGGGGGGGGGGGGGGGGGGGGGGGGGGGGGGGGGCGGGCCCCCCCCCCGGCCCCGGGGGGGGGGGGGGGGGGGGGGGGGGGGGGGGGGGGGGGGGGGGGGGGGGGGGGGGGGGGGGGGGGGGGGGGGGGGGGGGGCGCCGCCCCCCCGCCCCCCCCCCCCCCCCCCCCCCCCCCGCGCGGGCCGGGGGGGGGGGGGGGGGGGGGGGGGGGGGGGGGGGGGGGGCGGGGGGGGGGCGGGCGGCGGGGGGGCCGCCGCGGGCGGGGGCGGGGGGGGGGGGGGGGGGGGGGGGGGGGGGGGGGGGGGGGGGGGGGGGGGGGGGGGGGGGGGGGGGGGGGGGGGGGGGGGGGGGCCCCGCCCCCCCCCCCCCCCCCCCCCCCCCCCCCGCCCGCGCGGGGCGGGGGGGGGGGGGGGGGGGGGGGGGGGGGGGGGGGGGGGGGGGGGGGGGGGGGGGGGGGGGGGGGGGGGGGGGGGGGGGGCGCCGCGGGGGGGGGGGGGGGGGGGGGGGGGGGGGGGGGGGGGCGGGGGGGGGGGGGGGGGGGGGGGGGGGGGGGGGGGGGGGGGGGGGGGGGGGGGGGGGGGGGGGGGGGGGGGGGGGGGGGGGGGGGGGGGGGGGGGGGGGGGGGGGGGGGGGGGGGGGGGGGGGGGGGGGGGGGGGGGGGGGGGGGGGGGGGGGGGGGGGGGGGGGGGGGGGGGGGGGGGGGGGGGGGGGGGGGGGGGGGGGGGGGGGGGGGGGGGGGGGGGGGGGGGGGGGGGGGGGGGGGGGGGGGGGGGGGGGGGGGGGGGGGGGGGGGGGGGGGGGGGGGGGGGGGGGGGGGGGGGGGGGGGGGGGGGGGGGGGGGGGGGGGGGGGGGGGGGGGGGGGGGGGGGGGGGGGGGGGGGGGGGGGGGGGGGGGGGGGGGGGGGGGGGGGGGGGGGGGGGGGGGGGGGGGGGGGGGGGGGGGGGGGGGGGGGGGGGGGGGGGGGGGGGGGGGGGGGGGGGGGGGGGGGGGGGGGGGGGGGGGGGGGGGGGGGGGGGGGGGGGGGGGGGGGGGGGGGGGGGGGGGGGGGGGGGGGGGGGGGGGGGGGGGGGGGGGGGGGGGGGGGGGGGGGGGGGGGGGGGGGGGGGGGGGGGGGGGGGGGGGGGGGGGGGGGGGGGGGGGGGGGGGGGGGGGGGGGGGGGGGGGGGGGGGGGGGGGGGGGGGGGGGGGGGGGGGGGGGGGGGGGGGGGGGGGGGGGGGGGGGGGGGGGGGCGGGGGGGGGGGGGGGGGGGGGGGGGGGGGGGGGGGGGGGGGGGGGGGGGGGGGGGGGGGGGGGGGGGGGGGGGGGGGGGGGGGGGGGGGCGGGCGGGGCCCGCCGGCGCCCCCGGGGCGCGGGGGGGGGCGGGGGGGGGGGGGGGGGGGGGGGGGGGGGGGGGGGGGGGGGGGGGGGGGGGGGGGGGGGGGGGGGGGGGGGGGGGGGGGGGGGGGGGGGGGGGGGGGGGGGGGGGGGGGGGGGGGGGGGGGGGGGGGGGGGGGGGGGGGGGGGGGGGGGGGGGGGGGGGGGGGGGGGGGGGGGGGGGGGGGGGGGGGGGGGGGGGGGGGGGGGGGGGGGGGGGGGGGGGGGGGGGGGGGGGGGGGGGGGGGGGGGGGGGGGGGGGGGGGGGGGGGGGGGGGGGGGGGGGG